TTTTAATAGAACAAACAAATTAATCCTCGTATTATTTTCAATGACATAGATTTAAATTACATAGATTATGTTGTGGGTCGTTTTACGTACTGTGTAAACAACTTTATTTTAGATTCGATAAACATTTAGAAAAGAAACATACAATACATTTTTAATTTAAGCATTTAATTTAAGCTTTTTAGCTAAAGATTTTCCCATTTCACAAACACATTTTTTGTTATTTAACCTGGCCCACTTTCTAAGATTTTCAAGGTCCAGCATTATATTATAAAATAAAATATTATGTTAATTAATAATATTAATATTATTATTTTATAAAATAAAATATTATGGAAAATGTCTTCAGATACATTCAGTCGTTCAGGGGAACTGTGTTGTGTTGGAGATAAACTGCTTCTTTCAAGAGGACAGTAAAACAAGTACCTCTTGTGTGAAATGCAAAAATGCAGATAGTAGATGTTATTTTTTCTACATCATGTGGAGAACTATGTAGTCTAAAATAGAGTTGTTATTGGTTTAACCTGTTTTGAGTGAATTTACACAGTACAGCATCATATAATACAACAAACTGCAGAGACATTCCTTGACACATTAATGTGTCCTGATTTTACACACCAGTTCATGACCCTAGATGAGAAAAGGTCACAAACTTTAATGAAGAAACAGAAAGTATAAGCAGTACTTTGGTCAATACAAAAACTGAAATAGATCAGTTTGACCCATAACATAATAGGAAGTGAAAGAACAGGAACTGAAGATACAGTTGAGCAATGCATAGAAATCAGTGGACATTTTGATAAAATAGTTCACAAAAATCTTTCTGGTTAGACTCTCTTCTTCTGTGTGTTCACTGATGTGATACAGCGGTCTCAGAAACTCAGTCCAATCTTACTCGACAAGCCCCACATCCCGTTGCAAATCTTTTATTTATTGTGTTTTGGTTTTATGCTCTTCTCCACTTTTTTTTACTTCTAAGTCTAGTGCTGTTGTCTCAAGGCGACTCCACTTTCCTCAGGGTCTGCTGAGCTTTTTCAGCTCGTCTGATTCTCTCCTCTAAAAAGCTCTGCTGCTGTTGATCCCTCTGCTTCAACCTGAGACACCACTGCTGCCGGAGACTACAGGGATACACAGGAGGAAGAGGAGGAGAGAAGTACAGAAGGTCAGAGAGAGAGAGATGATTAGTTAAGAATGAATGAGGTGATGATCAACACAGAGGTGGTGAGAGTCACCACCAGGTGATGTCATCACATCCACCTGAGCCACAAACTGATCAGAACTGCACCAAACTTCAGTATCATGTTGTAGCTGAAAACATGGTAAATATTCACAGATTTATCAAATCTAGTACTTTTCATTTTTTGAAACATAATGTGCCATGGTGCTGTTTCTGGTGTGAGTTTTGTTGGCAGAGTTTGTGATGTTGGTGATGTCGACATTGTTGTTGCTGCTGTTGTCGTTGGCAGTGACACAGTTACGTGGTTGTTATTATCTGTCCGTCAGTCATCACAGCGTCTCATGTGTCTGTTAATCTCCTGCTCTGTCCACACTTGTTCTCTCTGATCTCCTGGATTATAGTTTAATCCCATCTGAGTCTCATCAACATTCCCAGGCCTCCAGGTGATGATTGACAAACCTGATACAACCACGTCAACCACATCAACCATGTCAACCACATCAACCACATCAACCACGTCAACCACATCAACCACATCAACCATGTCAAACGCACAGTTTCTCCGTCAGACAGAGAAAGTTTTCTAGATTTAATTTTTTGTTTCTTCTCCCATATTGACTTTGAACATTTTCTCTGGTTCATTCAGCCTTCATTTGAAATGAACTCAAAACAAGTACAATTTTCATTAACAAAATAAAGTGAAATGATTGACAGAATTTTCATTAACTCATTAGTTTGTATTGATTATGGTTAATATTCTAAGGTCATATTTAATCTTTTTAAAGAAAATGATCTACTGTCGGTTCTACTGATTTAAAGATATAATTTTTATTTTCTACTGTTCTTTTCAATTAGCCAAATAAATAATAGTATGGATTTTTCATATTATTCATTTTTATCATTTTAATGCTATTATCATGCCTTAGTTTTTATTTTATTTCCACTCAAATTATTTCAATTGTTTTTTTTTTCCAAAAGTTGCTGTTAGTCCCTTAGTGAAGCCCTGCTGACCGGCACAGAGCGCTGCGTCTCCTGCGGTTCTCCTCTTCATCCATCTGCTCCCCGTGTTGGGAGATCCTCTGCTCCCAGAATGACTTGAGCTTCTGCTTGTCATGCAGTAGAGCTGCGTTCATCATCTGACCACAGCAAACAGCGATGGTTAAATCCCATTCTTGAACAAAGAACAAAGGCCGACGGTTCAGTCGGGTGGAAGGACTTGATCCTATTTCATACTTACTCTGAACTTTGTCTTTTGTCTCTTTAGCCACTGTCTCTGTCCTGAGTCTTCTGTCTCTGTCAGTGGTCTCTCCTTTCTCCAGTTTGACCACCTCAACCCCTCCCTCTCCGCTGCCGTCAGTGCTTCGCTCTGATCCTGTCATCCATTGTCATCTGTAAAACCTGTCAGTGTAGTCAATCTGTCTGTGGAACTGTCCCACTGCAGGAAAACAACATTTTCACACAGTCCACTTAAACCTGCAGTCAAATACCTGTGACCTCACAGCTGACCCCCAGAGGAGACCAATCCAGGAGCACGACGGCAACAAGCAGAGAAGGTTCGAGTCGTTCCTTCCTCGGCTGGAAGACGAGGCAGCAGGAGGTCTTCCGGAATAATCTCTGTCCAATCATGGACTCCAGGATTACATGTGCACCTTTAGTCTGAAGATCAAAATAACAAAGGAGAGATCAGAGGAGGGATTGGCAGGTATTAGATCTGAGAGAAAAGCAACGAGGAAATAATCACGCAGCTCAGTGAGACACAGACATATTGACTAAGAAGGATTTTGTCAGTGTGTGTGTGTGAGTGTGGTGTGACACAGCTGGTGGAGTCAAAGAATTCTCACATGAATTTCTTTGTAGTTATTCACACAACATTTAATGTACAGTTGAAAACAACTTTTGTAAATTCTCTGCTTGTTTTTGTTTGTGGAAATGTATAAAAACTCTTAGGTTTTAGCAGCGTTGTAGCTAACCTTTATTCATGATAATGATGAGGCTTTTTTTTCATTCATTCATTTATTTTCTGAATCACTCTACCAGTTGGCCTGGCAGATTTGAGGCAACACTTCTGGTCTACACTGTCGCTCCAGCCCTGCTGGGACAAGATAAGAGGGCTGCTGATAATTGATTTAAAGCTCATCAATAAAGTCTGGAGATAAGAAAGAAAGAAAACAGCTCTCACTGGAAATACCTACAGATAACACACACACACACACACTGGTTTCCCTTTTGACTTTATTACAGACAGCGTTAGTTCAACACCGTTTGCTCTTTAATAAAGACATTTTAGAGCCAAAAATAATCTCATTGTTTGTGCAAATATACAGAAGATATAAAGTCAAGAAACAAATCTCAGAAACTTCTTTAACAAAAACAGTCTGATATTTGAAGAAAAACACCATTATTAAAACTTTTTGTACACTATTACACACTCTTGACGCCGTGTTAAATTTGGATCTTTTCCCAGGATGACAAGTTTTTACTGTCATTTTGTTTGTTTTTTGAACTTGTCTTCAGTGTTGTTTGACTTTCTTGCTGCATAATGTCCCTGACAAACAATGGAGTGAAAGATAAGAGGTCTTCAAAGCCACACAAACATCATGGTATCATCTGCAGAGGTGTTGATTTTGGAAGTGTTGGGAAGGATATTTCTCGCTGTAGGTCCACAGAGTTCTGAGGAAATTTAAAGACGATCCAGAGGTTTGACCACGTCCAGGAGTTTCCTTTAGAAAGACAAGTCTAAAAAACAGGGACATCCTCCAGTTTTCTGACAAGAGTTTCATCCAATAAATATGTTTTTGTCTATTAAATTTTCTTCAGCATCAGAGGAAACGTCGTAGCAGAAGAAGCTGGAGCAACAGTGACACCCACAGGATGGTGTTGTTCTGTACAGTCCTGACTGCTGATGAGTGAGACCAGGTCACGTCATCACTGTCGTCTGCAACAAAAGATTAAAAAATACCTTAGTGTTCATGTTTTTTTCCTAACATGCAAACGTACCAACTAACATTAATAGGAAAATAAAAGAACGGACAGGAAGTCACTGTGTTGGTTTAGTCTGGGAACCGTGCTACTTTACTACAGTTTTTTTTAATTTAATAAAATGGGACTTCTTCACTAGACTGGAGACAAGTGCAGGAGGAGAAGGGAGGTGGACTAGAGAGCTAGGGCGGAGGTTCTCTCTGAAGAGCTGGGTCCCCAAGAGCTTCAAGAGCAACAGCAACAGCAACACTTGGATTGCAAATGAAGGGGCGGAAACTGTGAACAGTTAGAGTTACATGATAACAGAGGGATAACGGGAGTTCACTGCCGACACCCGGGTCCATACAGTGTCAACGACTGAGTTTACTGATGGCTGGGGACAGGGTTTATTTTATGTCATTGTAAAAACAAGAAACAGAGAAAAAGAAGTAGGAAAGGAAAGGGATTTCAGATTCAGATTCCTAAATTTGTGTAAGAAAGAATAACTCTCAGGTTCATGAAATCAATAAAATCATTAACTTGTATGTTATATTTCAAAGATGAAGAAAAGCTGAGAGGCGAATTGAAGGCTGTGTGTGTGTGTGTGTGTGTGTGTTTACCGCAGTCTGTGTGGAAGACGTGAGGGAAACAGTGCAGCAGGCCGTAGACACAGCGACAGTAGGAGCAGCCTTTACGAACCCACACACCGTGAGGAATCGAACCGCAGCTCCTGGTAGGACACAGACACAGACGTTACATGAGCAGGAAATCACACCTGACAAGTCACAGAGAAAGTCTGGAGGTGACGTGAAGACGTCTGCAGGGCTTTAATTAAAAAATAATAAATAAAAAGTGATAATAGGTCAAGTATTTAGAGCAGGAGTTTTTTCTACTACGGTTAAATTTAATTTAAACTTTAAATGTTTGACCTAATACAGCAGTGGAGATTTTGGTCATTGAAGCTCTTTCTGACACATTTTTAATTTATTTTAAAAATAAAAGTGCCTTCATTCAAATATCTGTTGGAGGTTGTTGTTTGTGATGATGTTTTTATACATATAAACTAACTTAGTTAGTGGGTTCAGAGGACTGTTTGGCTACCATGTCATATTTCTTAGCTAACTTAGCGTGTTTTGCTTCCTGTAGCTAACTTCTGCTAATGTGTGCTCTTACTCTTAGTTAACACTTGGCTAATCTTGGATTTATTGGGTTTTATTTTTACTTTTCAATTGAACACTGAACATTAGCTCTTACAAATTGACATCGATTCATTTTTGAAACTTTTTTCCTGTACCTGATGTTCTGGTTGTATTCACAGCTGCGTCCAGTGAAGAACGGTGGGCACGTGCAGAAAGTTCCCAGGATACAGGTTCCTCCATTTTTACAGCAGTTACGACTCAGTTCTGAATCTGCAGGAGAAGAAGAACAACATCAACATCAGACCTGAGTGTGGAAACGTCCCAGAAGACGTTCACGTCACAGAGACCCATCTACAGTGGAATATAATAACTAGTTATTTTCCCCTTAGTTTAGAATCTGAGGGGGGCCAGTGGGGCCCCCAGACCTCAGGTTGGACCCCTCCCCTCTCTCTGCTCCCAGTCCCTGTATCAGTGAGATAAACCAGACTCCATCTGGCACCACATTCCTGTCCTCCTCCACCTTCTCGTCCTCCTCCATCAGCAGACAAACACCAAGAGTGGAAACAAACATGAGAAAGTAGCAGAGAAGCACTAAAATAAACTGACGGAAAGTTCCAGAAAAATCTGCAGACAAAGGCTCCTTTCAGAGGATTACATCTTCTGCAGAACTTACAACCAAAACGATTCCATTTCAATCGATCGTTTGAATTTGAAGAAATATTTGAGTCTGTCTTTAAATATTTCTTGTCCTTCTTTTCTGGACGTCTGTCCATCTCTCATAAGGAACCAAAGAGTGTTTCTGTGTGTGGATTCTGGAAGATTCTTTTTTTAAACTCTCCTCCTGACTACTCCTGGTGTCAGTAACACATTAAACAGAGACGTGACATTAAAACTACATTTGCAGGTGAAAGAGTCTGAACTCACTTCCTGTGAGGCCAATGAACGGCAGGACGGCGCTGGCATCGCGGTGTTTACGGTCACCGCCGTTTGGAGAGTTCACCTGAGCGAACTGAGCCAGGAAGTCTTTAGATTTAAGCAACGAAGAAGTCGATGACGATGTCAATGATGAAGGTGGTGATGACAGTGTAGGTCGACCTGCGTCACATTGTCCTCCTTCACAGCCTGAAAGAACAGAAACACTAATTAAAAATGTATTACAAACATACTCCATATCTATTTATATAACTGGCAGATATAATATGATTATTTTATCCATTACATTTGATTTTATTGATCTTTTAAACATTTTAGGTTACATCTGATGACTTAGGTAAATTAGCCATTTCAGCTAATTTTTTCTTTTGCTATTTTCTGAATTTACCTCAAAATATTTTGTCAAAGTTTGTCAAATCAAAAGAAGCAAAATGTGATTTTTTACAGTGTCCTACAAAATAAAAAAAAATCAAAATGTTTATAATTGCTCAAGATTTAAAAAAAAAAGTTTAAATTAATTGTTAACTGTAAACATTCACTACAAACTACAAGTGAAATATAACACAGAGAGTGGGAATCACAAACACCAGTGTCCAGGTTGGAAGGTGGTGATGACAGTGTAGGTCGACCTGCGTCACATTGTCCTCCTTCACAGCCTGAAAGAACAGAAACACTAATTAAAAATGTATTACAAACATACTCCATATCTATTTATATAACTGGCAGATATAATATGATTATTTTATCCATTACATTTGATTTTATTGATCTTTTAAACATTTTAGGTTACATCTGATGACTTAGGTAAATTAGCCATTTCAGCTAATTTTTTCTTTTGCTATTTTCTGAATTTACCTCAAAATATTTTGTCAAAGTTTGTCAAATCAGAAGAAGCAAAATGTGATTTTTTACAGTGTCGTACAAAATAAAAAAAGCAAAATGTTTATAATTGCTCTAGATTAAAAAATATATATATTTTCAAATTAATTGTTAACTGTAAACATATAAATATTCACTACAGACTATAAGTGAAATATAACACAGAGAGTGAGAATCACAAACACCAGTGTCCAGGTTGGAGGAGAACTGACCTGAGGCAGCAGCAGTGACCTGAAGACTCATGAGGGACCACAGAATTGTCCTGCAGACACCAAACAGTTCTCGTTTAATCACAGGAACTCAAAAACATTTCTGAGAACTTCAGAACTTTCATCTGCAGACTCACCTGAGCACAAAAATCATTTTAATGTCCTGGACAATCTTTGGACTTGGCCGCAAAGTCAACGTGTTTAAAAATAAAAATCGAAATAAGTTCCAAATCTGCCTCGGTTATTTCCAGCACTGTGAAACAAACGTTTTCTTGCTTTCTAAAATTAAACAAATCTTGATATGAACCTAAAAAGTGTTGCAGAAATATTTTAGCACCGCCATAAAAATGTTCCTTAAATGTAAAACTAGGTGTGATAAAATATAAACCCGCAGATATCAGACCTGCAGCCCGGTCACAGACAGCAGTGAATCCACAGAAACGTTTTCTTCTCCAGGTGACTCTCATTCTACCACAAGGGGGCGGAGTCACATCAAACCACGCCCACGATACGCAACCTTTTCTGTTTGTCTGAAAAAGTGTGGATTCAATCGGCAAAAAAGTTGAGAAACAAAACCTGTAAAAATGTCATAATATGTCATGTATATATAAATATAAATGTGTTCATAAATAGAAAAAACGAACTGGAGAAATTGAAGAACATTTTAAAGGCGTGTATAAAATTGTAAATGTTTTGATTTGAAACGTTAAAAAGAATGCGTGTTATTTTTTGAAGAAAAAAGAGACTTACCTATAGATTCTTTTCATATTGTGTAAGAGATGGAACAGGAAGTGAAGACCCCCTTACCCCCTCTCTCTCTCCTAATTCTCATGTTTAAAAGCCTCTCTCACTCGCTCTGGGAGCTTCTTACATGTTAATGAACCTGCTGCTGTGAAAATTCCCTTTCCCCCATTTTATTCTTTGCAGCAGAAAAATATTTTAAATATAAAAGACCTAAATGTTTCCTATAATAAAATTAAAATGAAATTGGGAAATATATACAATAAAATATTTATTTTAAAGTAGTCACAGTGTTACCAAAAAATCAGTTCAATATATGGATTTAAGCAATTGTTAAAATAAGAATGATCATCATCAGTTCTGTTGTGTTATAGGCTGGTTGTATTTTGTTCACAGTGATTATAATGTGAGATGGAAACGTTTATAAATAAATAAAAAGAAATGTATATATCTTTTTCCAATTATATATTTCTAATTCTAACTATTCCCAAAGTTGTTGGTTTTGTTTTCAGGTTTTTGCTGAGTTTGCAGACCTCAGCAGCGTCAGTGTCTCCTCCTCCCCCACCTCCTGGTTCTCAGGGTGAATGTGTCTCCTGTGAGGAAACATCTCTGAGGACAATCAGACAATCAGAGGTGGAAATGGAGACTTAGTAAATCTGTGGAGAATCACAATGAGCTCTGATCTCATGCTAATACACAGCAGGAGAGAGGGGGAGAGAGGGGGAGAGGGGGAGAGAGAGGGAGAGAGAGAGGGAGCGAGAGAGAAGGGGGGGAGGAGAAAAAAGACTGGAGGTCAAACCTGAAAACCTGACCTGAACAAAACTCTTGTTCTTTTGTTTGACATTTGCTTTTAGTTTCTGGTTTTGTGAGTGTGTGTGTATGAAATCAAACATGATTTAATGAGTCGATTTGAAAAAAGAAAAGTGAATGATTTTGGTCAATAATCTGACTTAATCTGTATTTTTTGGTCAGTCTGTGCAACATGTAGTTGATATGTTCAGATCATATTCAAATATACTTTACATTTACACTTGGTGTTTAATATGCATGTCATTATGATTTTATCATATAATATATTGGGATTATTTGGGACTTAATTCACTCCATTTAAACTATATTTTCTACATCTTCGATGAACTCATCGAGTAGCATTTTTTTTAAAGGAGACAAACAAACGACATTTTGTAGCTGAAGCTAATGAATTTCTGTCATTACGGTTGGAAGACTCTGAATCCCTCTAGTGGTCTAAATGAAGTATCACCCTCAATTTAATAAAGTGAATGTTGTTTCAGGTTGGTGTTAAAAGAACAGGTTATCAGAGCGTTTTAAACCCAGTAGTCAATAAACGTCACATAAAGCATCATTTCAGAATTAAAGCTTACTTTTAAATTTTTTTATTATTGTGTAAAAAAAAAATCTAATTTTTGAACGAACTAGTAAAACAATCCAAAAACAATAAATCATTCAAAGAACTTTTACACAACCAAATGAAACTTAGAAATGAAACATTCGTACTTTTGAAAGACCTTATGTAAACGTAAATGAATCATTGTACTGCTGTAAAAGAATGTGTAAGACTTGAATGTATTTTAAACAGAATGATAAGCCTCACATTGAAAATCCACACGTTGCAAAAAATGTGTAAACCTCTTACCAGGTCTATACTTACACTACCTTTGTTTTCCTCTCTTTTAAATACTTTTTTTTTTTTTTTTTTAGTTTTTTTATCCAACATTTTGGTGAGATTTTGGAATGTTGGGTCCAATGACACTTTAAAACACTCCCTGTGTCCTGAAATTATAAAAAGTGCAAAACATTTTTAGAATAATAACTGCTACTTTAAATAATCAAATAACAACTTTGTAAAGATATTTCTTCCAGTATTTTACGTGATCTGTGTCATGTGTGACCCAGAGCGTAGGTTGTACAGAACAACAACCAAGAAAATACATGACTAAAAGCTTTAAAAATACTAAATATGTGCAACGTCCTGTTAAAACACATGTAGAGTTGAATTCCATCCATCCATTTTCATCCGCTTATCCGTCACTGGGTCGGGGGGGCAGCAGTCTCCCAATCACACTGCACCGTACCAGCCCCCCCCCTGAACCTTCCTGTGGGTGGTGAGTCCACTGGAAGGTACCAACCGCCCTAACCTGGATTCACTTTAACCCAGGAGGTGAACCCTGGGGTTCCACACCAATGACAGAGACACTGGCTCTGGGCCAAAGCGCAACTAGAGTTGAATTAAAGTATTCATTTCTTAAAAATGGATTTGAAACTAGACCAAAATATCAGCCCAGGTACTCGGTGGTGTGGGGCAGACAGCTGGTGCTCAACACTTCCTGACTCTTCAAAGCTGCGTTTTCTCCCAGTGTTGTTGAACAGACTGGTTATTCATGGCATGGTTTGAAATGTTACACCCAGGTCCAGGTCATGTGTCCTCTGCAGAGTGTGTAGCCTGGATATAGACAGTTGCTCAAGCTACACAAATAGCATGACATCACTGCAAGACTGAAGCCTGCACTAGATGAAAGAATTCAAAACCGTTTTCACAGCGGAGCTAAAGCTGTCTGTTCAAAAAGAAGCCAATCCTGGAAAAAAAACTTGATAAAAATGTAGACGTCCTCAACATTTTCTGTGTTCAACTTCCAGATGAAGTTAGTGTTGGGTTATAATCTAATCCCACTACATAGTGTACATGGAGCATACTTGATGAAATGATCAAGTCCTTCTCTACACATTACCATGATCAACACACACGGATTATGAACTGGAGTCAGGCGAACCATTGTGGACTGGTTGGTTTGACAACATTTTGTCCAAACCATCAGCCATTAAGTCAAGAAAGACTTTTTTCTAAAGTCAAGAAAGTTCCAACACTCTTCTTCTCTTCTTCCTCACCATGAACTAGTGTGCTTCCTTCTGGTCCACATTGTGGACCAAGCCAAGTGGGACTTTCCCATGTAAATACCCAGGATCCTCCATATTGTGAGTTAACGTAATGTTTAACTCTGTGGTCAACGTTCAGCCCGAGTCGTCCATCGCTCATGGTCAACCAGTCCACACCTAGATGTTTGTGAGGTTTGGTGGGTGACGATATAGACGTCGGAGCCAACACGACCAACCATGGCAGACTTTTCAGAACAGTCCGGAAGGTTTCAATGTTCCTCATCTTCTTCTTCCTCATCTTCTTCTTCTTCTTCACTATCTTCCTCCTCCTCCTCAGTTTCTTCTTCTTTTTCTTCTTCTTCTTCTTCTTCACTTTCCTTTTTGGCATTGTTCATCCTCCAGCTGAGACTCCACTTGTCCTTCATCGTACCATCGTCCCTGTCCTTCAGTCCGAGGTGTGCCAGGTTCCGGTGTTCGGGGGAGAAACACTCCACCTTGTCTTCTTTCATCTTCTTCACACGACAAATCCTCCAGGACTCCCTCCACGCCCACCAGTCTTCCTGCTCGTCTACATCCTCTTCTTCGTCATCTCCTTCATCTACTCCCCATTGAGCCACTGCCACCATGCAGGACCTCCTCCAGGAGGAGAAACAGGCATGAAGTTTGTGGAACTGCAGGTGAGGAGGGACAACGAGTTTGGCTGTCCAAACCTCCTCTGCTGCGGTTTTCCCTTTTTTGACCTGCTTCTTCTTCTTTATCTTCTCATCCTGGAAGTCCTTTCCTGTGTTGACCTTCAGATCATCAGGCTCCTCCTCCTCCTCCTCCTCCTCCTGTTTGCTTGTGTCTTCCATCTGATTTTTCTTTTCTTCTTCTTCTTCATCATCTTCAGTTTCTGTCTCCTCTTCTTTCATCTCAACTTTACTCTCTTCATCTTCATCTTCTTTCCCCTCTTCTTCCTCCTCCTCATCTTCCGTCTCCTCTTCTTCATCATCTTCCTTTCCCTCTTCCGTGTCCTCCTTCTTCTGACATGTTCTAACATCTTCTTCATCCTCTTTCTCCAGTTCGTCTACATCTTCCTCCTCTTGCTCCTCTTCTTTATTCTCAACAATGTCTGTATTTGTTCCATCTTTTTTATTTTCTCCTTCATCTTCTTCATCCTCCTCCTCAGATCCTTCTCCGTCTTCTTGATCATCTTCATCATCTTCCTCCTCCTGAACTCTCACTCCCTCCTTCTCATCCAAGTCCTCATCAATATTTTCATCTTCACCTGATCTTTTGTCCTCCTCCAACTCATCTGCACCTTCTTCCTGTCTTTCATCCTCCTCTTCTTCATCAACCTCCTTCTCATTTTCATCACAGATTTTCTCATCTTCATTCTCTGCATCATCTTTTAGAATGATTTTGTTCTTCTGTGATGGTTCTTCTTCATCTTCCTCCTCTTCTTCTTGTTCTTCTACCTCTTCTTCCTCCACCGTCACCTCCTCCTCTTCCTCATCATTCTTATTTTCGCCCTCTTTCTTTTTTATTTTGTCCCTTTCCTCTTTTTCTTCTTCATACACTTCCTTCTTCTCTGCTTCACGATGTTTCTCCTCCTCCTCCTGTTTCTCTTCTTTTTCTTTTCCCTTAACAGCATCCTGACCACCATCCTCCTCCTCTTCCTCCTTGTCCTCCTCCTCTACTTCTTCCTCCTCCTCCTCATCTTCTTCTTCCTCTTCTAGTCCTACATTTGCGTCCACCTCTTTGTTTTTATCTTCTTCCTTCTCTTCTTCTTTCTTAGTCACCTCATCTTCATTTACCTCCTCTTCTTCTCCCTCCGTCCCCTCTTCCTCCTCCTCATCTTCTTCTTCCTCCTTCCCCTCTTCCTCCTCCAGTCCTACATTCGATTCCACCTCTTCCTTTTTATCTTCTTCCTTCGTCACCTCATCTTCATTTACTTCCTCTTCCTCCTCTTCCCCTCCTTCGTCTTCCTCCTCCTCCTCATCTTCTTCTTCCTCCTTCCCCTCTTCCTCCTCCCGTCCTACATTCGATTCCCCCTCTTCCTTTTTATCTTCTTCCTTCGGCACCTCAGCTTCATTTACTTCCTCTTCCTCCTCTTCCCCTCCTTCGTCTTCCTCCTCCTCCTCATCTTCTTCTTCCTCCTTCCCCTCTTCCTCCTCCAGTCCTACATTCGATTCCCCCTCTTCCTTTTTATCTTCTTCCTTCGGCACCTCAGCTTCATTTACTTCCTCTTCCTCCTCTTCCCCTCCTTCGTCTTCCTCCTCCTCCTCATCTTCTTCTTCCTCCTTCCCCTCTTCCTCCTCCTCATCTTCTTCTTCCTCCTTCCCCTCTTCCTCCTCCCGTCCTACATTCGATTCCCCCTCTTCCTTTTTATCTTCTTCCTTCGTAACCTCATCTTCATTTACTTCCTCTTCCTCCTCATCCCCTCCTTCGTCTTCCTCCTCCTCCTCATCTTCTTCTTCCTCCTTCCCCTCTTCCTCCTCCCGTCCTACATTCGATTCCACCTCTTCCTTTTTATCTTCTTCCTTCGGCACCTCAGCTTCATTTACTTCCTCTTCCTCCTCTTCCCCTCCTTCGTCTTCCTCCTCCTCCTCATCTTCTTCTTCCTCCTTCCCCTCTTCCTCCTCCTCATCTTCTTCTTCCTCCTTCCCCTCTTCCTCCTCCCGTCCTACATTCGATTCCACCTCTTCCTTTTTATCTTCTTCCTTCGGCACCTCAGCTTCATTTACTTCCTCTTCCTCCTCATCCCCTCCTTCGTCTTCCTCCTCCTCCTCATCTTCTTCTTCCTCCTTCCCCTCTTCCTCCTCCCGTCCTACATTCGATTCCCCCTCTTCCTTTTTATCTTCTTCCTTCGGCACCTCAGCTTCATTTACTTCCTCTTCCTCCTCATCCCCTCCTTCGTCTTCCCTCTTCCTCATCTTCTTCTGTGTCATCCAGCTCCTCGTCTGTCACCTCCTCTTTATGATCCTCCTCCTCATCTATTTGGACCAGTCCTTTAGGAGTTTTCCAGGATTCCGTCCACTCCTCGTGGTCAGTGATGTCTTCATCGAGCGGTGAGGTGAGGAGAACCTTCTTGGTATGGAATCTGCTCTTCATGATGTCACTGTGATGACGATGGGACTTGACTGAAGTCTTGCACCACCTGTGGACATAGTGTGGAATTGAATGTGTGACTGACAGCTGACATATTTAAAAGGACCACTGTGAAGCCCCACCCACCTGATCTGCTGCCTGTATTTCCAGCAGGAGCTCCAGCTCGTACGACGCTCCTCGTCTTCTCCTGGAAGAGCAGCAGTGAGCAGCCAGGAGTCGCTCCATCCTGGCACGTAGAAGTCAACGATCTTCATTGTCATCATCAGTGCTCGAAGAGTGGTCCAGGTGGGTGGAGTTAGGCTCTCCTTGTCATTAGCGTCTTCTTCATCGTCATCGTCATCATCATCACCATAGTTATCATCATCATCATCATCATCATCATCATCATCATCATCATCATCATCATCATCATCATCATCATCATCATCATCATCATCATCATCATCATCATCTTCTTCTTCTTCTTCTTCTTCTTCTTCTTCAACCTTTTCGTCTTCTTTTTTTTCTTCCGATTGAAGTTCTACTGCAGACAGCTTCCAGGAGTCGTCCCAGTCCAGCAGCTCGTCCTGTGTGACAAAAACATTTGTCTAAACGTCACAGTTTTTCTCTATTTTCACTCCTTAACCTCTGAAAAACTGGAGGTTGATAATATTTGGTTTGCTCCATTGACCATGCCTTAGAAAACTTTTCTACAGAGCCTTTTCTATAAAACTGTGCTGAAAGAACATTTAATTAATATATATATATAGATAGATAGATAGATAGATATTTTCTGATTTTACCGAGCACAGCTCACAGTAAAAATAGTTATGACATCTTTCTCCAGACGGTGGCAGTGCAGCAGCTGCTGTAATCTGATCATGTCAGTGTCCGGGTGTACACCACCACATTAGACAACACAAACATCAGACAAAAACAACCGACCAACCACCGACTCCCACCTCGTCCTCCAGCTCCTGCAGTTTTTCCAACTTGTTGCTGGGGTTTTGTCGAAACTCAGGCCAGACACAATCCCAGTTCGGCTTCTTCTGTCTGAAGGCAAAGTTCATGATCTTCCATGTTCCGGCCCAGACGGGGAGAAAATATTTTCCTATTTCTGGTACACAAATGAATTCCATCTCAAACAATATGTCCCACTGGAATTCTGGTGTGAGGCCACACTCATCTGACTGTGTTGCACTCTTTACCTGGAAAGAAGAAAGAAAGGAGAATAAAGAAAAAAAAACCTCAAAACAGTGTGGACGTTAGTGTATGATGGACAGGAGGATTGCCTCCAGCTCCAGTGCAACCCTGAAGGAAACATTTGTAGAAGATATGAAATCACAAGAAATTCTTCTCACTACCTGTTTCCAGGCGTTTCTCCATTCCTCAGCAGCAGGTGGCACTGTTTCCTCCTCCGTGTCCAATTCGGGTTTGTATGTCCTTCCGTTTATCTCAGCAATCGATGCAAATTTTGATAATCTGGCTTTAAACTCCCTGGCCTTCAGAAACAGATATTTTGGAGGTTTCAGACTCATCCACGAGTCTTTCCAACAAATCCCGAAAGCGTCTACCTCAACTTTACGTTTCTGAATTTTGAATATTGGAGAAGTTTTTTTTCTGACAGGAGGAGGTGGCTGAGGCTGCGCTCTGGACACTGGAGGAGGAGGGACAACTTTGAACTTGATCTTAGGTTTGGTGTTGTCAGGTTCATCTGCTGCACAGGTGACTTTCCTGAAGTCGGATACGTCACCTTTCAGCTGCTCTCCATTACAGATGGCCCAGTGGTAGTTCCACTTGGAGAAAAGGCTGCAGGAACACAAGTAAGGAGATTTCTGAGTGCGGGAATCCACATTATATCAGGCTTATAGTTAGAAACTACAACAACAGCCAACTAGTACGACTGAAAGTACTACACCATGATGAGGTTATGCCTCCCCTGTTGGCTTCCTAGGATTATTAGTTGCATAAGATGATTTTGTGATGATGTTTAATTAAAAATATATTTTTCACTATCACTTTTTTCTATGTTGACATCATGTATCCTAATTCAAGCTCTTCAGTAAATAAAATAAAATATTCTCACAGTTTCAGGGAGCTCCTCTCTCTCCATTGAGTCTGTTGTTTGCATTGATCTGCTTCACTCTGAGCTCTCTTCTCCCATTGGTCCCTCAGCCGCCCATTACTGAACGTCCTCTCTCCTTTTTTGGACAACATCCTGTGGCCTGAGTAACAAACACACAGGAATAAGCACAGACCACCTCACACCATAAATCCATCTGACTTGGTAACAGTCACACTGTCACACTGTAGCCACGACACGTCCAATGAGTTTGTCTGCAGTCAGTCAATCAAAAGTCCATATTGACAAACAGTCAGTCGGTGCTCCAGCCCAATAGGTGGTCCTACAGGCTCCACCCTGAATCCTTAGAGTCCATCCCTGAGGTTAGGGACTATTTTGGGACCAAGCAGCTTTTAGCCTGAATTAACCTCTGAGTAATTATAATACAAATGTTTGTTCCAGATGTTTCTGAGCAGGGACTGTTGTCATGTTGAAAACAGTTCTGGCACTGTAGTGAAGAAGACCTTTTGACCAGGGGTCACCACAGCAGAAGTTCCCTTACTGAGTTTCAACACTGGACGCCCTTCCTGATGCAACCCAACCTGATTTGGGGACTGGACTCTGTCTCACCCAGAACCTTCCACAGCACCCAGTCCATAAATCAGGAAGGGCAACATACAATTCTGAAACCTGGTTCCTGGTACTATATGTCTCCACTTCCAAAAGTTTAGAATTAAACATCCCCTCAATAATGTTTTGTTGTTTGTGATTTCTCCATATTTCGTCAAAGGAAAGTTAAAATCTAAACCATAGTTTGGACACAAACCCTTAAATTTCCCATTCAGAGAACACAGACAGAAACAGTGAGATCAAGCTTCAGCTGCGACACACAGTCATGACTCTGCTATGTTTAGTTGTTTATTTTCAGAAGTCATGATTCATCACAGAGCTGACGTTCAGGACCAGGACCAGGGCCAGGGCCAGGGCCAGGGCCATGACTAAACACTAACTAAAAAACAAAAAACAAAGCACAGATAAAACTCAGATGGACTTATGGGAATAAAAAGTATGGGTTCACAGTGTAAATGTTGGGTTCTGGTGAGTCCAAGGTTGAAACTTAAGGCTAAAATTTCTACGGGTACGAACTGTGCGTTAAACTCAGCTCCACCGTGGAGCTGAACTACAGTTTTAGTAAAGTTTCAGTCAACAGTTACTGTACTGTTTACACCTGGAGATGAAGAAGAAGAATTCCAGAATACGGACATAAACATTCTTCCAGATCAACCAAGAACACCTTACCTGAAGTATGTTCTTCTCTTGGACGGTTTACATGTCCTGTTGTATGCAGTGACAGTGAAGGTCAGAAGTCAAACACGTCCGTGTCTTTATTTTCCGCCAACCTTCCAGTCGAAAGCTCCTGTTTTTGTGCAGTCTTCTGCCTCTGCCCTGTGGTCGACGTGAACTGCTCGCCCTCAGAATCGTACACCCCCGATCTGTGTTTCTGCTCTGTACTAGGCAGGTTTCCCTCTCTGCTATTTTTACGTCATACGTGAAGTTATCCAGAGCTGCGAATCTAAAATTAGCAGGAAGTTGGGTGAAGTGCCAAACACGAGGAGAGGGGAGGAGGGGATGAAAGAAGAGGTGAGCACTATAGAAAACTGGTGAATGAATGAACCCACACAGTGAGGGTGAAATATATCTTTTCATTTCTGATGTGCAGTGAGTATTAATTCATCTTCTTTAAAATGGGAGCAAGTGATTGTGATTCCGGAACACGCTCCTCTTCCTTCCCTGCAGAGAGGGGTATAAACAGAGTTTAAATTACATGGTCCATGTGGTACATTGCAGTACCGCCCCCTACTGGCTCTCTTGCAGCAAATATTTCCAATTGTAAATGTCCAGTTTAAGTAAAAAATACAAAATAGAGGTAGAGGGCAGCATTACTGCAGATGACAGACATTACTGTCTAATCAGGACCAAGGTACAAAGTAATATGCTAACTGTGCCACTAATATAATGATAATTAGCTGTCCTTGAACACCTGCTCATGCTGTGGTGCAGGTAAATAAGTGATTCTGCAGGTGAGACCTCCCAGGGTGAGTCAGTCAGCTGCAGCACTTCATTGATTTTACACCTGCAACAGGATCCTGTTGATGCCGTCAACAGAAAGTGTGACTGGATCCAGGTTATCACTGGGTTCACTGCTATTTTTAACCCAGGCACTTTGACCGGGATCGTGAGAATAAACCAAACTGGGTCTGCGGTCAATGTGGATATTTAATTTTTTATTGAAATTATTTCCAGAACAATCATTTGGTAATTCAGACTAACTTTTAGTTGTTTGTATTTTTACCTGTTTTTGCTCACTATTACTTTTTGGCTTTTTTTAATTCAATTTTGAGCTAATTTTTTAACTATATTTAGGTTTATGGTATACGTTATACGGCTAAATTTCGGCCAGTGTGTACAGTGGAACCTCGAGATACGAGCATAACCCGTTCCAGGACCTAGCTTGTAACTGGAGGTGCTCGTATCTCAAATCATTTTTTCCCCACAAGAAATAACAGAAAAAAAAAATCTGTTCCGGCCGCTTATTAGTGCTAATAACAATGGAAATTTTCGTATGTCGAGGCGCTCGTATCTCGAGGTTCCACTGTTCTTGAGCCTGACAATTTGAGCCAATATTCAAGTCGAAACTCTTGACTATCTGGAACCAGTAGATTGAATCATTTTGAAGGAAAAGAGAACAAAAGACAGGTGAAGCTTTTTTAATTTCTTCCTATTTTACTGTTGTGATCTGTTTGTTGTTGTGTGATATGTCCCAGCTAAAAACTCTTTGTTGGACCTGGAGTGGTGTTGGTTCATGGGCTCATACTGTGGAAGGAGAAACTTCCAAGACTGAGTCCACTCAGAGAATGACTTTTTGGAAACAATCACTTTGGGTTGGCCAGGTGAATCTAGGAACTTCCAGGATTCTACCCAGTCTTCATAGAACTTTTCTTTAGTCTTGTCCTCCATCTTTATCTTCTGCACTGAAGTGTAGCCTATTTTGAAACGTGGTTGGGTTTTACTCAGAAGGTGACCTCCTGTAAATTTCTGCTGTGATTGTGTCTGCTTTGTCATATCAGCATAAAGATGCTTTCTGGGTTTGATCTTCTTTTGAAATATTATCACAGAACTTGGGTTTTTAACCTGGAGTTCCTGAAAAAAGAGATAGGAGTCTTTCCAAAGCCTGAGAAATGAGGGGGTTTTACTGAAGTCAACCTTGGTTTTATTTGGTATCTTTTCAACTTTCGACCACAAAGCTGTGTAGTAACATGTGTTAGGAGGAGACTCTAACCAGGGTTGTTTGATGTGGGGCATGGGGTTGGCAAGTCTGAAGGACCATCCCCACTCAGATCCAGGTTTAGTGGTTGTGCCCTGCTGCTGCAAAGGGGAGTGGTATTTGTTTATACTTGCAGTACCTGAAGAAGTGTAAAAACTTAGTTGGTGGCTCAGAAGTGGCTCAGCTCTCCAAGATGTGTTCCACTTTTGTTTAGGATATATTTTATGAAATATCTGCTCATCAAATGACTGACTTTGTTTGATTGTGACTCTCTTCTCCACAAGGGATTCCATCTCCATCCCATCACCCACCCAGTCAACCTTGAGTCCAGACTCTTGCACATCCAGGTGTTCTGTTTGACAAATGGACCTCCAAGATTCCCACCATTGGTTTTCGAAGGGTTTATCCTTGTGAGACTCACTTTCCATGAACATAGAGAGTGACTGCAAATCATGGACAGGTCTACCATATTTTCTTGGAACCTTTTCATTCCAGGGAGAAAAGATAGTCATCTTTGACCTACTTTGGCTTGTTTGAGTATTACCCACATATCGCACTGACCGGCGTGTGTGACCAGAGAATCTCCATGAGTCTCTCCAACTCCTTTCGGGATTCGGACCATTTTTAGGGAGATCAACAGGGGGAAATTGATTTCTGTCTACTGCTCGATCAACTCGAATAGGTCTCATGACGGGCCAGTTATGATGCCATAGTACAGGATTCTTATTCAGGGACTGACAGGGTAGCTTCCATGAACTCTTCCACACTAGGTCACTTGATAGCTGGTTGTCCCTTTTCTTCAACTCCTTAAAAGTTCCTAAAGGATCAGGCCTCATTCTTTTTCTCCCCAAAGTCACTTTATATTTTGCTGTTTTCCATGAGTCACACCAATATGAGTCATGTAAACTTTTCTCAAGTCTCATCAAAAGCCACTTAGATTTGGTGTATGTAATCTGGGGTACATATATTGTGTAATTTTTCAGTTGTTCACTGCACAAATATTGTCCCTTTGGGTTTTTCTCCAGAAACTGAGATCTCAAAGGTGTCTTCATCCTAGCTGGATAAGCTTGATGGATTTTTCCCATTTGTTGACTTGATTTTGGGTTAGTCTTGGACATTTGCCATGATTTGCTCCACATAGAGTGAGCCTTGACATCATCACACAGCTGTAGGTGAACATCTCTGTATTTGTGTTTATTTGAAGAAATAATGCTGTGTTTCCTCAGGATGTAATTATAGTGATGCATACTTTTACCGAGAGTGTCATTCATCCAAAGAGCAATATCAGATTTGTGACGGTCTTCGATGACAACTATATCTGATCTCCATGAATTAGTCCACTCTGAACTGTGAAAGTTAATACCTTGAGGCAACTGGGTTTTGTTGCAATCATGAAGGTTGACAAGCCTCCAACATTTGCCCCACATAGAATTCATCTGATCCTCCTTGTAAGTAAGACGGCCCTGATGACCTTCTGGCTTGATGGATCTCCATGACTGTCTCCACTCTGACAGGTAAAAACATTTTTGGAGATGCTGGGTCTCCAGCAGCTGGAGATACCTTCTGTTAGCTCTGCTTTGTACATTCTCTGTGTTTTGCCACAAAACTGTATAGTAACATACATTAGGAGGACACTCCAACCAGGGTTGTTTCAGGGTTGGAGGGGGGTTGGCAATTCGGAATGACCTACCCCACCGAGCTCCAAGTTCATTGGCTGCAGCATGTTGTTGCCAAGTAAGTTTACCCTTACTCATACATGATGCATTTGAAGATCGGTAAAAAGTTGGTTGATGGCTCAGAAGTGACTTAGCACTCCATGATGTAATCCACTGTTTTCCAGCGTACCTTTCTTCAAATATGTGGTCATCAAAAGACCAGTTCAGTTTAGCACTGGTTCTCTGCAAGAACATCTTTCCTTTAAGTCTTTCATCAACCCAGTTATCTCTAGAATCCTGCTCACTAGTGTTTTCTGTCTGGGGGACAGACCTCCATGAGTCCCTCCATTGGGTAAACGAAGGTGTATCATGGTGGAATTGACTTCCTGAGACCATCCAGGATGACTGCCAGTCAGAAACTGTCCTACCACCCCTTCTCAGAGCCTGTGTGTTGTCTGGATAGTGGTAGGGGGCACTTGATCTTCCCTGTCGATTTTGTGCATTATGAAGTCCAGGCATTGACCGTTGTCGACTCATTAAAAATCTCCAGGAATCTCTCCAACTCCTCTCTGGATTTGGTCCATTCTTGGGGAGATCAACAGGGGGGAAGTGATTCTGTTCCCATGCACGGTCTATTCTGATTGGTCGTGTGGTGGGCCAGCCTTGTTGCCAAAGTACTGGGTCCTGATGCAGATTCTGACTCGTGTGTCTCCATGATTCATTCCATCCTGAGGCTGTTGATACTACACCCTCTAATTCTCTAAGAGATCTTAAAGAATTAGGTCCCACCCTTCTCTCTGTGTGCGGGCTATGTTTCAGTGTTCTCCATGATTCCCTCCAATTTGAGGAGTGGGGAGTGACTGCCTCCAGTCTCATCAAAAGCCACTTAGATTTGGTAAATGTCAACTCCGTATTGTGGATAATGCTGTTTTTCAGTTGCCTGTAGTCTGAGTCTTCTAACTTCAGTGTTTTATGTTTGCTCTCCATCTTCTCCATTTTTGGTGGTGAAGCCTTAAGGATCTCTTCAATTTCCTTACATGGTTTTGTGCTGTTCTTGGTCACCTGCAATGACTTGGCCCAAACCGAGGGAGCCTTCAAATCATTGCAGTGAAGCATGCACCTGCCTTTATATTTCTGTTTGTAAGACTCGACCACAGTTTTGTCAGTGAGGACACAGGATTCATCAGCATCACTGTTATTTTGTTTGCGATTATCAGAATTTCTGTTATTATAATCAATGAGAACCACTGCTGATCTCCATGAATTAGTCCAATCTGAAGTGTCTTTGACTTTGTGCACACTGAAAATGTTGCGTTCATTTTGGTTCAGCCTCCAACATTCCTTCCACCTGGAGCTCATGTCATCTTTTTTATCTTGGTTGATAGAAGAAGGAAGTTTTCTCCCACTTGCTGGTTTGTAGGATATCCTAGAATCTCTCCAACTTCTTTCTGGGTTTGGACCATTTTTAGGAAGATCTAACGGGGGGTAGAAGTGGTTCTGGTTCCACGTCCGATTGGCTTGGACTGGTCTTAGGGTGGGCCAATGCTGCTGCCAAAGGTAGGGATTTTCTTGGGGAGGTCCACAAATGAGCCGCCAAGACCTTTTCCACTCTGAGGTAGATGACATCACCTGTTTTTTGAGATGACAGACATCAACTTGGTCTCTGACAGGCAGTAAATGGTCGAGAGTTGATCCTTGTTTCTTCATATTCATTCCAGTTTTAAATATTTTAGAGGAATCTCTCCAATTGGCCAAATACTGACCTTGCTCGTTGTTCTTCAGAAACAGCTTAGAGTTAATTAATATTGTCTTTAAATCATATATCATGTTGTTTTTAAGATGGGTATTGTACAAGTAATCTGTTTCTGGTATTGAATATTGCTGATTTAGGTTCTCCTGCAACTCCAAACCTTCCTCATCAGACATCTTTGGCAAAGTTTTAAGAATCTTCTCTAGTGTTTGACATGGTTTGGAGTTGTTCTTAGTCATGTGCCATGACTTATTCCACAAAGACTGGGCGTTCAAGTCATTCCAGAGCTGAGGGTGCCTGTTCCGAACTTTTTGGTTTGATGGCTGAAGCATGATTTTGTCAGAATTGCAATGGGCATCTTCTAGACAATACAGATTTTTGTGATCATTAATGACAGCCAATCTCCATGAGTCATCCCACGGCGACTGAGATTCGTTGCTTCCATGATGGTTGACAAGCCTCCAACATTCTTCCCACCTACACGCCATGTCATCTCTGCTACTTTGCTTGTTAGCATGAGTAGACTGGGACTGAGTGGCTGCTTTGGTGGATCTCCATGACTGTGTCCAGTCTGATGGACCCATGGTTCTGGGTTCCTGCAGAGCCACTAACAACAGGTTTTCTGATCTGCTAAGGTTTTTTCTATTGTCACAATCTTTCATTATATTCTTGTTGGATTTTCTCCAGGACTTTTTCCACTCTTTAGTGAAAAGGCTTAAATTCAACTCCATTAAATCCACTGACCTGTGCTCAGCTTCGTCCCACAGATAAAGACTGCGAGGGTCCATCTTGTTGGGCCCATTGAGCCAAGGTTTACCTGGTTCAGAATAAGGCTGCTGTGTAGCAAACATCCAGCACTGACCCCAGTCTGTGGTTCCCCCTGCTGGTGATGGCAAAGACTTGTCAAACATCCATGACTTCCTCCAGTCCACAGCGGAAGGTTGAGTCTCTTCAAGGATCATGAGAAACTGCAGCTTGTTGAAATGCATGTCTTGGCTCTTTTTGTTTTTGTAGCTAACAGTAGAATTGGACAGGATTCTGCTCTGGACTCCAGGTCTGCTGAGAAGTTCTGAACCTGAACTTGAACTTTGGAGACGAACACGAGGTACCTCAGAGTGCTTGCTCCTCCATACATTGTTGCTATCTGTTGGAGTATCAGCAGGTGGCTTTCTCCTTTCCACACGTTGGTATTTTGTCATTTTGGCAACAATGCGATTTTCCCAATCCTTGTTAATACTATGAAGACAAAACAAAACATCTTTAGTATATACATATATATATACATATATATATACTGTATATATATATATATATATATATATATATATATATATATATAAATCCATAGAATCCATTTATGAAGCTAACAGTGTTAGTATTAGTAAATGGGGAAGAAGCTTAAAAATGGAGGTAAAGTCAAAGTGAACAAGTTGAGCGATAGAAATACAGTTTAGAGGACGGTTGTCCTCATGAGGACAGATAAACTGAGTCAGATATAGACAATAACTTGTGATTCTTATTTCTTACCCAGAGAGTGCGCTGTTCTCCAGTCGCTGCTGCTCCTTCTGCAGCTTTTGGTCCTGCTCTCGACCTCTAATCTCCCACACGTTCTTCATGATGGAGGCAGGACAGCCCACCACGTCGGGGTTCTTCTCCTCAGACATGTTCACCTGAAGAGACAGAGAAACAAATGAGACTTACGGTCCGAACAATCAGTCTGAAGGGTCCAGAGCAGAGGAGAGGTTCTGGACCTGACACTGATGAGACTGCAAGTGTGGTGACACTGCTCACACATCTGCTCATATATACTCAGCGGTGTGTGTGTACGTGTGGGAGTGGGTGTCCATAAATATACCTCCGTCTAACATACGTGCATAGTTTGTGCACAGAAAGCTGAGATCCCACAGGTCTGCACGTAACATTATAACCTTTATGGTTTCTAAATGGCATAAACGTCTAACGTCTTGATTCATGCTAACCAAGCGTGCTAAGAAAACAAAATAAAAAACTGTTGTCGTTAACAGAGGTTTCCGGATGGAACTATTTTGGAAACATAGTTATATGGAGGCGATTACTTAAACTATTCTTAGGTTAACATCTGTTAGCCTTTAGCTAATTGTGAGCTTTTAGTCTGATTTACTTGTACCCAAAACCGTACTCTTTAAACTACGTTTTTGGTGTTTTTAAGTTGACTTTATTCTCTTCTCTTCAGTTTAGCTAATGTTTTAGCCATTTCTAAAAATTGAAAGAAGGACATTATTTATTTAGCTGTCTGTGGTTTGATTTTATTACCTTTTTATTCACTTTAATATATTTCTGCTAAACATATTTTTTATGTAATTCTGTGTGTAAGTGGGTTGGTTCTGTTCCGTGCCACTGAATCAGCTATTTCTGACTGGAGGTCAGGCAGATCAGATGGTATGTGTCTGAGAGCATGTGTGCATGCAGTACATACAGTATATGTGTACTTGGTACATACAGTATCTGTACTTTAACCTCCTCTATTTTTACCATCATGTCTGTTCTGTGCAGCAGGATTAGCTTTCGTTACATCACCACAGGTCACATGGTTCATAAGGCCGTGTCTTTCAATATTTCCTTGACCTTTCTGTGGTTTTCCAATAAAACCTTTTATTTGCTCACATTACTCTCTTGGAAAATGTAGAACCTGATGTCAGTAACATCAGTAGAGGACATGTAGAGCAGGCAGGCCAATTAAACACACACACCTCATACTGTATCTTTAAAGCTTTGCTATGAGTGAAATTTGAGGTCTGCTTAATGACATCCAGAATGTTCCTCTTAACTTAATTTAAACTCAAGACTTTTAACTCATTTTTATCTATTGTTCTTCACCTGACATTGTTGTTTCACCACATTCCGCCAAAATAACTTGTTTAACCTCTTGTTTAACGTTCAGAGATGCTAATCGAGAATTTTCCCATGTGACAACCGAGAAAACTTTTCCTCAACTTCCTCCTCCTCTTCCAGTATATGCTGGTCTAACTGGTTCGTCAGACATTTACGAGAAGTTGACAAGTCAATGTCAAGAATGTCCTCATGAAAAAAATGTAAAGGCAGAAGAAGCAGTTGCAGGTTGAAAACAACCACCTGATGTCTTAATACTGGGTGTCCAGGGTCCAGCCTCTACTGAATTATTCTCTTCTCACTTCTCCACCAGTAAGATACTGAGGAGGGTGACAGTGAGTAAAGTCAAGGTTCTAAGATGAAGATCTGGATACTGGGAAATGGTCCAACCTCAATTTATGAAATAGTATAAAATTGAGGTCGGAACTAGTTAGGAGCTTCAAACGAGGGCTAAGCTAAAACAGCCAAAACCAACAACGTGGGGTCGTATTCCAACATGTGAGTACATTAGTCGCCAATAAGAAAACAGTGATTTTCCAGCATAGTTTCCAAGATAGTGATACAGAATTTTGTCAAGTCACCTTCCATCCATCCACCCTTCATCTATACATCCATCATCCATCCATCCACCAACCCATCCACCCAGCTTGTGAAAGACTGGAGTTGCACATTGTAAAGTTCTCCAGGGTCACAGGGACGTACGTACAGACATTATTCACACTCACATTTACACAGATTTACACGTTTAGAGTGAAGAATAAACCAACTTAGAACTCTCTCAGCGTACAGCACCCCTTGCCCCACCCACAGCATAGATTCCAGTGTCTTTACATCATCCATGATGTGTCTTTTACGTGATTAAGATTCTTCTTCTGTCACACCAATGTCAAAGTGCACTGAGAAGAAGCAGTACTTGGAAGTGTTTTCGTGTTTGTGGCAAAACAGAGACTGTAAGGAGATGTACAGAGAATGAATGAAAGAGTGGATAAATAAATAAACAGACGAGTTTCAATCAAATCAACTGAGAAACAAACATATAACGTGAAATCCTGTGAAATGAGTTTCCACTCTGTATCACCACCTCAACACTAACTTGTCTCGTCTTTATTCTACCACTGCAATTTGCTTATATACAGTATGTATATAATCATATATATGTATATAATGATTATTATTATTACTATTATTATTTCATTATGTTTTAATATTCTGTTTAAGTTGTCTTTAGTTTTGGTCTTTGAATTGACAGAAAAAACAAGTCAATAACTGATGATTTGTTATTGTTTATTTTATCATTGTTTTGTGTCCTTTACAGAAACTCAGCAACACAAACGAAGACATCATTCTGCACTGCCTCATGATCAATCTTTAACACACAATCAAATGAAATACAGAAATTAAAACCTTTAAAATTGGACATGAAGAATCTCTTCTGAAGTTCTTAATTGCTCTCACCCTGCTTTGCCTACAACACACATTTGACTTTATTTTTACTTTTTCTTGGCAAGAAGACAAGCTACAATTAACAGATACTTGTCAAACCAGGCGCTACTGCCATAAATACAGGAAGGTCTTTACAGGAGCAGGAAGTGAACCAATGAAATTCATAAACACAATCAAATCAAATTCCTGATTTAAACAGTTGATATTGGCTGGGCCACAATAACAAGGCTAACGCTGGCACCGTCACCTGGTAGAGACGACCACAGGGGGTTGATGGGATTGTATTTGGGCTTAAGTTGTGCAAAGAATCTCCCAGATACTGGTTTGTCACATATAAGGTCTGGTGTTGAGGTAGGAGCTGGTGTGGTCGAGGTTGTTCATGTAATTGAAGGGACCCTGGTTGGTTAGAAGACCCTGGTTGGTTGGAAGACCTGGGTTGGTTGGAAGACCTGGGTTGGTTAAAGCGTCAGGGTAGCCAGTGTTGTTTTGCGCTGCAGAAGCAGACAATATGGCCTGAAACAGGATGACCCTCTGCAGCAGTTCAGACATGAAGGTGTAATCGTATACCGGCTGCTTGGCTTTGTCACAGTCTTGGACTCCTTTCTGCTGCAGTGTTCGCTCAGCTTCTTTGTACATATCATCGTGAAAGTAACCTCCTCCGTTGGCTGCTACCATGTCATCGATCTTCTTGAGCAACTGAACAACCTGAGCTTTGTTAATCTTTTCCTTGTTGTTGAAAACATGGAACCTGTTTCCACACCTGCTGATGACCTCACGGAGTTTGGGGTGACCACTCTGTATGTACTCCTGTATGGTTCTGCCCTTCAACTCATCACCACGGGTGAACAGGACAAGCATGAACCTGGAAGCCTCTGGTCCAAAGATTTTCTCCAGGGCTTCCACGCAGTGCTCCTCTTCTTTGGTAAACCGGCCGCAGCGGGAAAGCGTGAGGACCGGGTGACGACACCTGGATGCACTTTGCGATTTCATGCCGGATTTTGTCAGCCGTCTTGGATGTATCCAGGATCCCAGGTGTGTCAACCACATGGATTTGCCTGCTGCATCTGGCCCGTTCTTTCTCACAGGTTTCAGTTACAGACTGTGCATGAGGCAAAGATCTGAAAACGTTTCTACCAACAATGGTATTACCCACCGCACTTTTCCCTACTCCAGTTTTCCCGATCATCACAATCCTTAGCGAAGGACCTGCAAACAGAAATGATCATGTTGCTGAAATGCTACACAATGAATCTGTGCTGAAGTCAAATCCTGACTGAGTTACCATGTGGGATGGAGAACTTCACTCCCATTCTTTTCTCTGCCTGGTTTGTTGGTGGAATGAGCGTCGCTACATTTGACTATAGGTTTTACAGTGCCGCATTCCATCATGCTCCACCCACAAAGGGGATGTAGCAAGAGGAGGAGGCAGTGGCGTGTCAGCCTTTAACTGCCTCCTCCAGGTGGGAGAGTGCTCAGACCTGGTCCAGACAGTCTGCTCACACCAACCTGCTGCCTGATCTAAGTCAACTAGGAGAAATGAGTTCGGACAGACCAGCACCACGTGAGTTCTGCTTCCTTCTCCTTCTGTCTGTGTAGGTTCTCAGTCATCCAGGTCATTTAATCCAAAAATAGTTACATCGAGGGCAACTGGACAAAGTAGGCTTTTTGAAGACGTTTCACCTCTTATCCAAGAGGCTTCATCAGTTCTGACTGACCACTGGGAAATTCTGGTATTTAGCCTCAAAGGGGGCCTACATACCTGTAACAAGGGTTGTTGCAGAAAGGAGTGATGGAGGTGTGGTGAAACACACCCTATTCTAAGAAGGGTGGAATGTAAAAGCAAGTAAGATGTAGACGTGCACTTTTAGGTGTAATACCTCAATTGGTCAAAAGGGGCAGTTCAAATACTCTCTCCTGAAGACAGGACTTTAAAACCCCATACTATATGAATTCAACTCTCTTCTTCTCTTGTTGGTTCATCTGAACTATTCACATATTTTTCGGCCAGAAGTCTCTTGGCTCCACACGTGTATCTTAGAAATCCAAGTTGAACCTCAGAAACAGTGCAGTTCAAACTTTGATAATGCTGTGGGTGTGACGGCACCAAGAGGGAGGGGCTTATTCCACACCTGAAGTCTTGGCATAAGAGTGTTAAAATCCCAATATTAAGACTGTTGTTAGCCAGCTACCTGTAACAATGACAGTGCCACAGTGTGGTCAAACTAAGGTAAAACACCCATACGCATAGTTAAACTGTAGCCAATACTTTAGTTTAAGTCATGAAGTTTTAAGATTTTAAGATAAATAAATACCAGAACCTGTTCACAAAATATGTACAAAAACAGCTAAGTCTGGAATGGGACAAAAAATGACAAAAACAGTAAAGGATTTAAAATACATGTAAATGTTAGCTATGTAATGATAACATATATTAGTAAAAGTTATTAAAGAAAGAATTTAGAACATTTACACACACGCCTTGTCTTGAACCCATGAATACTTTTTACCCATTTGATTTAACTGAATAACAGCAGAGCTTTTTAGCTACACTTTTATTTAAGCTGTTTCTTGGCTAACCTATAGACCTCTGTGACTACCTACGGCCCACTGGCTAACGCTAATCAGCAGAAGGAGTGATGGAGGTGTGGTGAAACACACCCTATTCTAAGAAGGGTGGAATGTAAAAGCAAGTAAGATGTAGACGTGCACTTTTAGGTGTAATACCTCAATTGGTCAAAAGGGGCAGTTCAAATACTCTCTCCTGAAGACAGGACTTTAAAACCCCATACTATATGAATTCAACTCTCTTCTTCTCTTGTTGGTTCATCTGAACTATTCACATATTTTTCGGCCAGAAGTCTCTTGGCTCCACACGTGTATCTTAGAAATCCAAGTTGAACCTCAGAAACAGTGCAGTTCAAACTTTGATAATGCTGTGGGTGTGACGGCACCAAGAGGGAGGGGCTTATTCCACACCTGAAGTCTTGGCATAAGAGTGTTAAAATCCCAATATTAAGACTGTTGTTAGCCAGCTACCTGTAACAATGACAGTGCCACAGTGTGGTCAAACTAAGGTAAAACACCCATACGCATAGTTAAACTGTAGCCAATACTTTAGTTTAAGTCATGAAGTTTTAAGATTTTAAGATAAATAAATACCAGAACCTGTTCACAAAATATGTACAAAAACAGCTAAGTCTGGAATGGGACAAAAAATGACAAAAACAGTAAAGGATTTAAAATACATGTAAATGTTAGCTATGTAATGATAACATATATTAGTAAAAGTTATTAAAGAAAGAATTTAGAACATTTACACACACGCCTTGTCTTGAACCCATGAATACTTTTTACCCATTTGATTTAACTGAATAACAGCAGAGCTTTTTAGCTACACTTTTATTTAAGCTGTTTCTTGGCTAACCTATAGACCTCTGTGACTACCTACGGCCCACTGGCTAACGCTAATCAGCAGACAGTTGAACTAGCTTTGATTCATTTACACCTCATAAACAAAACTTTTTTGTGATTTTCCTCCAACAGCATTTCCCGACAGGTTAGTCATCGCTCTTGTAGGAAAGACAATGAAGTGGAAGAACTACATTGGGAACATTATCCTGCAGTCTAAGGAGCAGTTTGCGTCCCTGGACAACATGCTGGTCAAGGGGGAGAACGACTCATATGTGGTCTTCAACACCCCAGACTTTCTAGATGAGGACTGCCAACACCTAGACCAACAAATTATAGACTTCATGGCTCTGTCTTTACCTGGCCCTGACCTCTTCATTCTGATAGTAGACTCGGAGAGCTGCACGGAGGAGAACGTGGTCACTCAAATCACCAATCTCCAGGAAATCTTCGGGGAAAAAATCACCGACCACCTGGTGGTCATGCTACCGAGCCCAGAAGTCTTCAATTCCTTGATCTTTCTGCAGGAACGCTTCAAAGTCCGACTGGTGATTCCTGACCAGCACCTGAGCAGCATATGCAGACGGTGGTGTAAAAGAGGCCAACCATTTCTCTACAACTTTCATAATTACAGTGAAGCCGTGGTGAAACGGAGACAGAAAGTCTTCGAAAGAAAGAGGTGCGAGCATCGGTCTGAGACATCAGACGTCTCAGCTAAAACCAAAGATAATTCGTATTTTTGCCAAAAACAATTCTCACCTAAAATCAACTACATTTTGAGTTCATGGCTGTCATGACATTAGAAACTACAGACAGAGGAGCTGAGGTTTTAAAAACATATTATAGAAAGTATTAAAGAAAGAAAGTGTATATAGTATAGAAATATCTACTAATATCCCACAACAAGTTGGCTGGAAATATACAGTAGCAAATATATAGCCTAGAGTTAGGCTAAACTGATAAAAGTAAAATAACAGTAAGTAAGTATTTCCCTGTTTTTCTTTAATGTTATTTAAGAAGATGTTATTGTTAGAATTCTGATATTAAAGCTTTGAAGTTCATCGAGACAAAAAATGTGTTTAGTGAATTTGCGCTGGATTAATTAGCTGCACCAGTTCATTCACTCAAAAAACAAACTAGCTCGGATCCAAAATCAATGTTTTTTACACTTACATCTTGTTTAAATTTCATGACATTTGTAATCTGTTCCAGATCCATCCCTGAGTATGAGACAGTGATTATTGGTAAGTCTCTGACCTTATGACTTTCATACAGTATGAAGATTCTTAATTCAATGCAGTTCTGCCATAGTCACTCCAGTCATTAAACATCTGTTATCTCTCTGTGAGAGAGCGAGTGTTTGATCATTTCATCAAATAAATCATTCATAAAGTCATTGAAAAAATCTTTAAAGTTTTCAGAATTTAAAGAAAAAGAATTATTTTAATTTTTTTGAGTTTTTCTATTTTATTTTGAAAGAAAAATAAATATTTTTTTGAGTTTTTCTATTTTATTTTTTCACTTTTCTACATCCAACTCTGGTGGATACTCCCAGGTTTGACCTTCTTAGTTCAGCTGTGTCTCAGCATTTAGAGCGTTACAAATTGAATGTGGATGAAAACCCTAGTTTCGTAGTCATTTTGTTCACCAATTGTTTCATCTGCTGTTGTGAAGAACTGATAGAAAGTACCGTGACTCGTTTGTACTTGTTTGCATCTTCCCAGGTCCGGCCCAAACTGGTCCGTCTACACAAAATCCTGCACCCACTGCAACCAATGGTTTGTCTTCTTTGTTTGGATCTGAAATAGAAAAGCTTGCATTAGACTTTAGCACCAGGCGGAAATTGTACCTAGCTAATCTAACAGGGTTTTTTTCAGGTACCAATGGAAACATTTTCAACATCATAATCCTGGGACTAGCTGGGGAAGAGTGCAACATGCAGCCCCATCCTGACTGCTGCGAAATCAGAGGGGCAGCTGTTTAAAGCTGAGGCAAGCTCGGTGCCGATCACCTTCTGCTGCACGGTCCGCTCTGTAAACAAGATATTTGGGGTTCCTGTGAGAGTGGTCGACACCCCAGACTTCTTTCATGAGGATGTCAAGGATGCACATGTTCATATCAATGAATGTCGGAAGTACTGCCAACCAGGGCAGTGTGTGGTGCTACTGGTGATACAGGGGGGACGCTTCACCAATCAAGAGATCGGAATCCTGGAAAGGCTGGAGGACTGTTTAGGCTGGAACATCCGGGACTGCACCATTGTACTGCTGACCCGCGGAGATGATATGAAAAATGTTAATCTTTGGTCGTATATCAGTGAAAACCCTGGGCTAAAGCACATTGTCGAACATTGCGGTAACAGGTTTCACCTCTTCAACAACAAGTCAAAAGACATAAAGCAAGTTTTAGAGCTGGTCAGGAAAATTCCAAATTATAAATCCCTCTTTCCAAAGTTCGCAAAAAAATATGATAAAGATTCCTGCAATAGCAGTTAAGAATGTTTAAAGTCTTAACTGAGAGGAGCGTGACTATTGTATTACATTACACCTGGATGTTTTTCTACCATGACCAGCATGGAAGGTTTTGGTCACAACTACTGCCTGTGTTCCAACAGCAAGTGAAATAGTATTTGAAATTGATTTTTAAAAGGGTTTTCCTTTGACACCGAGGCCATTCCAAGGCCTCGGTTGAGTTTTGCTTTAGCTTTTATTAACTTCCTGTCTTTGTCACATTAAAGGTCGGAATAGATTGATCTATGGTTTGTATGTTGCATCAAACCCTTGGAGTGTGTGTTACTTTGTTGTCATCATCATTTTTTCTCATCTTACCAATTTCTTCTGGTTTGTTTTAGTAATTCACAGTAAGAACGATGTATGACTGTACAAATGATAAATACTTATACTAAATACTATCTGTGTGATGTATTTTAATTTAATATTCATTTACATTTATAGGTAAACATCAAGAAAGATGAATGTTTTTATTTTGTAAAGAAAAAATAAAAGAAAAAGACTGGGGTTGGGGAAAGACTACTGGTCTCCTTTCTCCATGTATCTTGATTGTTAATCTTCATCTTGTTAGTCACAACAAACAAGCAAGGCTCTGTTTTAAGGTATTTGCTGGTACCAATAGTGTGTAAGTGACATTTAAGTCTCCAAGTAAAAATTCAACTTTACAACAGTTAAATGACATTGATTCTTTCAACTCCACATTCTGGAATAGGTTTAAAACCAAAATGTTCTGTTCACGTGAGTGCTGCAGCTGCCTTAGCACCAGATGTCCAGTCCTAAGTCAGAACCGATCAACACCCACCCTCCTGTGAGATATGTTTTGTCTATATTTGTACTCAGAGCCAGTTTGAAAATAATAAAAAAATAAACTATAAAATAATTAGCAGCATTTTTGATACACCATCATAACACTAGGAGACAATGATACTTCAGTGACAAAGCCAAGAATTATCTGAAATGAATCTATAATCATGCTGAAAGTCACATGAAAAAATCTAAAATAATATAGAAGTTGTTAAAATAAAGTTAAAGTAAATAAACGCCATAAAACATTTACCTAAACTACTGGGAATCACCGTGACTGTGATGGACATAAAGACACGTATCCACACACAAAAAACGATTTATTTTCAGGGAGTATATGTGATTTTATATATATAAATGAATTTCCTTCTTCATTATTTATGTTTTCTCAATGATCAGATATTGACTCAAGGAATTTCTGCACTGTTGTGTAAGGGCTTCTGACATGTTGTTAGGCAAGATGTTTGTCATTCTAAATGCATTGGCAATGCCAAAGTCACTGTGTGTTCTCATACAAATACTTGAACCTGGTCAAACCTGATAATACATCTTTCTCATAAAAAGAAATAGTATTTAAAAAACAACCAACATTTTTACAGTTTACAAGTTTTACAGTTAATAATTAATTTTGTTTGTGATTTGTGCTAAAACAGAATCCTGATTGTTTTTCTTATTTTTTTATTGTTTTGTTCACATTCATCTTCTACTGCTTAGTCTTTGTCACGGGTCATAGGGCCACTTAACCAGAGAAACATTCACACTCAGAACCACTATGGTCAATTAAAGTTCCGTTATATTACCCAATTTCCATGATTGTGGACTGTGGGAGGCAATTATCAAGAAAATAGTTCAAATAATCATTTACCTGTAAGGCCACGGTGCTACCCACATCTTCCACTGTTTGGCAAATACAATATCATATAATGTGCATTTATGCTAATAACAAACTTTAGTAGGTTTTTCTACCCTGTGGTTTCCGGCGCGTCCTGATGACGTATTTGTGCGACTGAAAGAGCAGCGGCTCCGGAGCCGAGCTGGCAGCAGCGTCGGAGGAGGAGAAACATGGTAGCGTCCACGGAGCGGAGACCAGGCGGTGAAGTGTTTCCCTCTTCTCCCTTGACACCGGGCCCCTGGTGGCGGCTCACCGTTCTGCTTTTGTCCGTGTCGTCCCTACCGACGGCGACCGCGCTGGTGGAGGGCCTTTACTGCGGCACCGAGGTCTGTTACGACGTTCTCGGCGTCACCCGGGAGGCCTCCAAGGCGGAGATAGCTAGAGCTTACCGGCAGTTGGCCCGCCGGTACCACCCGGACCGGTTCAGACTCGGAGAGCCAGAGCTGGAAGGAGAAAGCGCGGAGTCCGCTCATACGAAATTCCTGCTCATCGCCACTGCCTATGAGACGCTAAAGGTGGGATAAAAGTCTGTACAAAGTTTTTCTTATAACATAATCTTCACCATATCATAAAAACTAACACCAAAAACAATCATTTATATAATCACAAAAAACAACATCGTGAACTAAAGGTAAAAAAAAAAAAAACAGTAGTTGAGCCAATGTATTAGAATAGTGTCCACAGAGAACACTGTCACATTATCAACCTGTGAGTCAAAGTAAACAGCTGTGGCTGTATCTGGTGCAGGATGAAGACTCTCGGCGGGATTATGACTACATGCTGGACCATCCTGAGGAGTACTACCAACACTACTATGCCTACTACAGACGTCGGCTCACCCCCAAGGTGGATGTCCGGGTAGTCATCCTCGTCACCATCTGTGCCATCTCCATATTTCAGGTATGTCTGTCTTGACTCAAACTTCTATTTCATTCACCTCAACTTGAAACCAGCCTAATTTATGAGCAGTTTCTCATCAGGAAGGTCAGGGGAACTCGTTTCGATTGGACGAGAAATGCCAACTGGACAATGTCACACAGTTACAACAGTGATTTTCACCCAGGAATCTAAGACCAACCAGCTATTGTCCATGATGTAGTTATAAAACCAGTGGGTGGTTATGTCACATTCTCCATCTTTTCTGGGCCATAGGGTCAAACATGGGGCAAGGGTTACATTTCTCAAGTCCATCACAGCGGGGCAAGGGCAGGGTTACATTTCTCAAGTCCATCACAGGGTCACATGGAAGGACACATTTACACGTATGGACAGATTAGAACAATAACCTGAGAAGATCTAGGACCATCTTTCCACAGTGTGGCCCCTGGTCCTGTCACAGATTCCTGCTCATAGTTCCTGTGCTTACTCACATGTGCCCCCTTGTGTTTTTTTTTCAGTACTACAGCTGGACCAGCAGCTACAATGAGGCTATCAACTATTTAGTGACAGTTCCCAAGTACCGAATCCAGGCCACCGAAATTGCTAAGCAGCAGGGCCTCCTGAATCGCACCAAGGAGAAGGGAAAAAATCGGCGCTCCAAAGAGGAGATTCGAGAGCAGGAGGAGGAGGTGATCCGGGACATCATCAAAAACAAGATTGACATCAAGGGCGGCTACCAAAAACCCAACCTGACTGACATCCTGCTCTGCCAGATCCTGCTATTTCCTTACTACCTGACCAACTATGTCACCTGGTACGTGACGTGGATCTATCGCTTCAACATCTGCAGGGAGGACTACGGCGATGAAGAGAAGCTTTATATCATCAGGTATCATCCTTATGGAACTTCAACATGGGCATGCTACTGGGTTCTACAGAAAATGAACCTGAAATTGTGAAATTATAGTCTAAAGGCTAGTGGTTAGCATAAAATAACAAAGTCAGAAATGGATAGCTAGCCAAAAAGAAAGCTAGTCTACCTTAGAAATCTCTAGTCTAGAAATGTTTGCTAGATGTACAACAGAAATTTAACTAAAATTAATTTAACTAAAGATTAGGACAAAAACCCAGCAAATTAACCAGAATTTACTGTTTTAATCAGACTGTTGGCGAGTTAGCCCGCAGGCACACTCATTGACCACAGGAGGCAGCATTAGACTAGCACCTCCACCACTTTAGATTTCTGTTGGTAATGTCAGTCTAATGGTGTTTCTTCCAGGAGATACATGAAGATGTCCCAGTCTCAGTTCGACAGCCTGGACGAAAACATGCGACAGACCTTCCTGGAGAAACAGCTATGGATCAAAGAAAACTATGAGGTTTGTTTTTCATTTGCACTGGTCTTTATGATTAACCCTGAGTCGTAATCCTTCATCTGTAATTATGTTTTCTTTTCTTCAACAACTGTCTAGTACTAGAATCACTTTTTCAATCAATTACTTTACACCAGGACATCAAACTGGAGACAGAACTGAACTGGAACATCTTTCAATGCAACTTCAAAATACTTTTCAAAAGGAATAATGTATAACCAATATAAGCATTAACAATCATAACTCAACAAACTGCAGTTTAAATGAAGTTGAGATGAAATCATTGCAAAGCCCATTATATTTTAGCATGAAATGCAGCAAATGTTCAATAAAAGTTCAGAAGTACGTAGGTGTTAAAGAAAAGGAGAGTGTAGGCATAAAAGAACTACCGTAAATGTCACAAAGAGGGCTAATAATGAGCCCACAGCGTAGCAACAAACCTTCAAGACATACTTGCCAAACTATGTTTTGATGGCGTAAAAAAGCCTCCTCGTCTCTCCTTCTATGTGTCGCAGACCTACAGAAAGGAGCAGGAGGAGGAGATGAAGATCAAGATGGCCACTGACCCCAGGATGAAGAGGTACCGTCGCTGGATGAGGAATGAGGGACCGGGTCGACTGACGTTCGTTGACGACTGATGGCGTCAGGCCTTGTCTGTTAACATACACGCCAGTGTCAACTTGCACTTGGACGGCCTGCGCTACAATGCTGTGTGAAGAAGACACGGCCACTCAGATCAGCTGATGCCTGTTTATGACCTGTGGTTTTTTTTGCAGGCCTGATGAAGCAGAAGTGGAATAAACTGTAAAGCTGAGAAATCAGATTTTTTTTTAATATAACTTTCCTTAATTGAACTTTGAGTTTTCATTTTGTCCCATTGGTGGAATTGGTTGCCTCACTTTCCTATACAAAATTCCATAGTGAAAATCTGGATTTTTATAACAGAACACAATATAGCCCTAATATTTCAATATACAAATGCACATGTATGTGTTGTGACCTTTTTTTTAATTCTTTGTTCAGGTTTACCTCAGTGACACAATCCAACCACAAAGGCAGTATTAGACCGTTAGATCCCATTTCACAGTGACCTAAAATTGATGGAAATTTCATATGGACTTGGTGCAAGAGTGGGACTTCTGTTTTACAAATCACAGAATTGTTGTGAAGGAGACAATTTCCACAAAGTGATAAATGTGAAGCCAGATCACCGCAAGCCAAACAACAGTGCATTTGCTTTTCATGCTCGATCTTTTCTGCTGTGATGACGCTCTCAGTTGATCACAGAGCTGGACATTTCTACCTGACTTGACTGAAAGACTACAGAAAAGAACAGACCAGACTAAATGAATCCTAGTAAAACTGCTGAAGGTCCGGCTGCTGCTCCTGTGTGACATCTGATCGTAGTTAGATTTCATACAAACAGGTGCTGAGCATTTATTTCACTGCATGTCATGAAATGGATTCTAAGCCGACTGGTACAATGAGGTCGAGCTCATCTAATATGCATCGTTTTCCTTAAGCAGTAAAGGCATTGATGGTTCAACTCATCGTCTCACACTGTCTTATAATCCTGGTTCTGATGTGTCACCTGACCTCAGGGACACAGCCTCATGTCATGACTGTCAGATTATCGGGATTTGCATTTGATTTGATTCTGATAAATAAAACCAGTCCAGGTGTATTTTTCTAAGGAACAGTTTTGTTTACTCTTGTTTTTCTTCCCAAACAAGGGATTTCTAACGTCCGGCTCAAAGTCAAAGTATCAATCAGACAGTGAAGACGGTACTGTGTTGCCCGTCAGAACCTGCATGGAGTTGAAGCAGCAGTCACTGCTACTGAAACACGCACTATTCCCTGAGATTATTGAACACTGTCAGAGTCCATTTGTTTATTTGTTGTGGACACAGTGTCCACCACTATGACACCATCAGTCTTTAATAAAGATGGTTTCAGCAGTCCACTCACTGAACAGAGTCTGGTGACGATTACAGACTACAGGAATGGTCAAAGCAACTAAAGACCAGTTACACACGTGGACAAAATTGTTGGTACCCCTCAGTTAAAGAAGGGAAAATCCACAATTCTCACTGAAATCACTTGAAACTTACAAAAGTAACAATAAATAAAAATTTATTGAAAATTAAATAATCAAAATCAGCCATTACTTTTGAATTGTTGATTAACATAATTATTTAAAAAACCAAACTAATGAAATAGGGCTGGACAAAATTGATGGTACCCATAACTTAATATTTTGTTGCACAACCTTTTGAGGCAATCACTGCAATTAAACGATTTCTGTATTTGTCAATGAGCATTCTGCAGCTGTCAACAGGTATTTTGGCCCACTCCTCATGAGCAAACTGCTCCAGTTGTCTCAGGTTTGATGGGTGTCTTCTCCAAATGGCATGTTTCAGCTCCTTCCACAGATGTTCAATGGGATTCAGATCTGGGCTCATGGAAGGCCACTTTAGAATAGTCCAACGCTTTTCTCTCAGCCATTCTTGGGTGTTTTTGGCTGTGTGTTTTGGATCGTTGTCCTGTTGGAAGACCCATGACCTGCGACTGAGACCAAGCTTTCTGACACTAGGCAGCACATTTCTCTCCAGAATGCCTTGATAGTCTTCAGATTTCATTTTACCTTGCACACATTCAAGACACCCTGTGCCAGATGCAGCAAAACAGCCCCAAAACATTCCTGAGCCTCCTCCATGTTTCACCGTAGGGACAGTGTTCTTTTCTTCGTATGCTTGGTTTTTGAGTCTATGAACATAGAGTTGATGTGCCTTACCAAAAAGCTCCAGTTTGGTCTCATCTGTCCAAAGGACATCCTCCCAGAAGCTTTGTGGCTTGTCAACATGCATTTTTGCAAATTCCAGTCTCGCTTTTTTATGATTTTTTTTCAGCAGTGGTGTCCTCCTTGGTCGTCTCCCATGAAGTCCACTTTGGCTCAAACAACGACGAATGGTGCGATCTGACACTGATGTACCTTGGCCTTGGAGTTCACCTTTAATTTCTTTGGAGGTTGTTCTGGGCTCTTTGGATACAATTCGAACGATCCGTCTCTTCAATTTGTCATCAATTTTCCTCTTGCGGCCACGTCCAGGGAGGTTGGCTACTGTCCCATGGGTCTTGAACTTCTGAATAATATGAGGCACTGTTGTCACAGGAACTTCAAGCTGTTTAGAGATGGTCTTATAGCCTTTACCTTTAAGATGTTTGTCTATAATTTTTTTTCGTATGTCCTGGGACAATTCTCTCCTTCGCTTTCTGTTGTCCATGTTCAGTGTGGTACACACCTTTTCACCAAACAGCAGAGTGACTACTTGTCTACCTTTAAATAGGCAGACTGACTGATTATGAGTTTGGAAACACCTGTGATGTCAATTGAAGGACACACCTGAGTTAATCATGTCACTCTGGTCAAATAGTTTTCAATCTTTTATAGAGGTACCATCATTTTTGTCCAGGCCTGTTTCATTAGTTTGTTTTTTTAAATAATTATGTTAATCAACAATTCAAAAGTGATGGCTGATTTTGATTGTTTAATTTTCAATACATTTTTATTTATTGTTACTTTTGTAAGTTTCAAGTGATTTCAGTGAGAATTGTGGGTTTTCCCTTCTTTAACTGAGGGGTGCCAACAATTTTGTCCACGTGTGTAGTTGCTTTGACCAAGACAATGTTGTAGACATTGGTGCTCCTGCCACAGCTCCATCAGTCTCTGCTCCACCTCTGAGCTTCCACTTTTGACACTTTGTCTCCTCTTTCTCTTCACATTCCTTGTATTCCCTCCACTTCCTGTTTTGCAGCCTCTCTTTTTCATTGGCTGCTAAATCAGTTGGTTCACTCTACCCGACTGTGTCCAGATTTAGTCCAGAAAATTCGAACCTGTTTGATTGACTGTCCACAACAACAGCAGACTGCTGAACAACTGGGAATCATGGGAAAAATCTGACCAATACCCTGTAACTTGTCCTCCTCCCGAGTGATGACATGTGATGTCACAAACATGAAAGGTTGTGATGTCAGTAATATAAAGCATCACTCACAGACTATTATTTTAGACAGTTTTGGTTTCACCTTGTCTGCACCTTTCCTCTCTTGTCTGAGCCTATGACTGACAAGTCCCTGACCGATGAGCCTTCGGCTGGTGTGTCTATGGCCGGCCACTTCATGGCTGACCATCCTAAAGCGGGGGAGTCAATGAGCACCGAGCCCACGACTGGTGAGCCTGCAGCTGGTGAGCTTCCTGTGTCAGAGCCTCAAGGTGGATTTTCCCCAGATGAAGAGCCAGTGAGCAGAGATCCCTCAGACAGTGAGGCCACAACCAGTGAGGCTCGGAGACTGAGCCCACAACCATCGACTCCATGTCCCACAACCTCTCAGATGCAGAGGAGATACTCGCCCCACCATCATAACGGTGAGGAGGACTCGGATGATGATGACACGGACGAAGAAGCTCACTGGCCGAGTGCCAGGCCGCCAACACCATGGCCCACATTTGCACAAATGCAGAAAAAGTTTTCTGCACACCACAAGAGCGAGGACACGGACGATGAGTCCACAGCCGAGGAGGCTTGGCGGTCGAGTCCCCGACCGCCTACGCCATGGCCAACACTGGCAAAACTCCAGAGAAGACACTCTGGGAAACAAAGGAGTAGCGAGGAAACGGACGAAGAGTATATGGCCAGAAAGTCACAGCGGCCCAGTGCTCGGGCACCAACGCCATGGCCGACAAAGGCCCAAATGCAGAGAAAAACACCTACACAGACAGTGAACAATGAGGCCACGGACGACGAGGTAACGCCAGATGAGGCAACGCATGCGAGTCCACCGTCGCCAAAGCCGTGGCCGACGATGGCTCAGCTGCAGATGCAAAGACGATTTAAAAAATAGTGAAAGAGCTAGAAGAAAGTTTCATCTCACTTAAGTATGAACGGCTGGGTTGGAGAAGATAGAACATAGGCCAAAGTGAGGTTTTCTAACCTTCCTAACAGCACGCAGACTTATTCTCATCATGTTAGAATTAGTCAAAAATCCAGATTACCCGTCGGCAGTAAATGTGAACACTGACTGTCCACACTGCTGCCTTGGATCTGTTCTAATGTACAGATTAGTTTCCCTCGTGTGGCAGCCATGTTTACTCTGGTACAGATCACTTTGGTTACATTTGTATAAATCACTCCAACAGATCTCCCTGATTGTAAACGTGCGTTGTATAAATTCATATCACCACCCCCTCCCTGTTAATTTTGTAAACAACAACTGAAAAGCCTGCATTTCCGGCTGAACTCTTGCACGAACCCAAGAATGTTAAAGGTTCAGCTGAAAATGCAGCAGTGACGCTGAGAAAATCATCAGGAAACTAAAAATTAGGAGTGGAGATGAGAAAAGGGTGAAGGGCTAGGAGAGTAGAAAGTCTGTACTGATTTAGTAGAGGTAGTCAACACAAACATGAAATAAATGTCATCATTTTGTAAATAATAAACAGCTGAGCTTATATTCCGGCAGGTATGAGCGAAATTAGTTGGAAATGGATCATTCTGTATTTCATGAAATTTACCAAAAGAAAACCAAGAGAACCATTAGAAAAAGCAAATCAAACTATTTTCTCTCCAACCGTTTCACATCAACAGTGAACTTTGAAATACACCGTTGTCCAAGGTAGACTTTCAAAAACCTGGAGACGTCTGGAACATTACAATTATCACATTGGTGGAAACATCTCACACACATTTTGTTTGTTGTTGAGAAACCAATGAGAAAGTTCTGGAATCCATCCAGCGAGACTGCAGGAGATGATGACAGCAAGGTGGCGCTCCTTCATCTATCAAAGGACTTTCTCTGGGACTTTGACTTAAGTTAAAGGGTGGCAACCATTGCAACTTTAGTTGAGAATTTCTCTGGGACTTTGACTTAAGTTATAGGGTGGCAACCATTGCAACTTTAGTTGAGTGTATAGTAGTGTACAGTGTTCTACAACTCCTTACATAGTTTAATAAATATGTTTGTACATACACTACCTTGTACCACTATTTTTCATACTGGTCAAGTTGCCCCGGGTGATCAACTGCTGTTTAACTGGTTTACCTTTACATTTGATTTCATTCTTAAATCATTGATTTAACTGTTGCCCCTGCGACCCACCCCCGGATAAGCCGTCAATGATGGATGGATGGATTTAACCTATCTACAGTATGTATATACTATCGACCAGTGGTTGGGCCTCCAGAGATTATCAGGCGTGCTGTGGGAATGGATCCAAATTCTTAATTTGACTAAGAACTAATATTTACTAACGTAACTATTTACTGCAGGTAATTTGTCCCGACAGTGACATAAATAACATTGACCAAAAAAGGACAAGATTTTAGGTTTTTTTTTCCATGACCAATAAAAATTATTGACACATATTTTAAATCATAAAAAAAAACAAAGTACAAGGCAGTGGAATGGCAGAACGTCCGTGTCATTCTCACATCAATAACATCAACAATAATAATAATAACAACAACAACCACCATTTTTGTATCATGACAAAATGGGACAGTGACCCTGGGTCTTGTGTTGCTCATGGTTTTGGAACAGAGTGTCGGCAGAAATGACAGCGATCAAAGTTTTCTTTGAAAGAAAACAAATACACAAGTGCAGGAAATGACGGACGCTGATAGAATCTGTTTTTTCTACTCGGCTGTTGTAGTTTTTTTTTTTGTTCATCTTAGTGTGTTTATGGTAAGAGCTGCAAAATTCTGCTTCATCAACAAACTAAATCACAGGACGCACAGACTGAAGGTTTGACATAAACTGTTCTGGGCCCTGATTGGACAGAGCCGGCTAATGCTTTGTGTTTTAAAAAAAAAATAAAAAAATCATCAGTCATTTCTGATACTTGTGGAGGAAATTAAAAAGCTGTTTCAATGTCATTTGGTTATGTTTGATTTCACTATAATTTTTATATTTTACAATCGAATGTTGTAGTTTTCTTATATTACCATAATTGTATGTGTATATACATGTATATTTGTCATATATGTATCTGTTCATATTTAATTAAAAAATATTTGCCTTTGGGTTAAAAGTGATGACAAATTCAACACTGTTCATATCAGCTAGGTGTGCTTTTGGAACTTTTTTTTAATCTCTTGATATTTAAATATTTCAAATTATGACAACTGGTCAAAATGACCTCCATCACCCTTTAACCTTTCACCAATTCCTTTTTTTGAAATACGTTTGAATAAATTGTGATATATGTGACAGGTTTCTTTCCAGAACATGTTTATGACAAACTTTCCAAGGCAGATGTACCAACAACTATAGCACAAAAACCAGAGTTGTATTTCCTCCACTTTGCACTAGTGGAGGCAGTGAGGGGTGGGGCTGATGACCTTAGGTTTTAGCTATGGGTCACATTGGCTAACAAAAATGACCAGAAATGTTCAAACTTCCGTATGTACTGGTACAAAATGTAGCATTAAAAACCTTTTTTAATCCTGTGATAATGTTGTTACTTTATCCAGTTCTTTTGACACTAACTCCAAATATTTGTCAATTCAGACATGTGAAGGGACTGGAACCCTGCAGGACTACACAACTGACAGCCACCCTGTCATCAAATCACCAGGGCAAAGGCCACCTGGGGTCAAAGGCCACAGGGAGGAACTTCACCTTCACCTGTGCCAACATAGCTTGATAATAGTTGACATTTCTAAAACAGAAACATCATGTAAAAACACACAGGAACTTTTGACATCAGAACACGACACCTGACAACTGTTATTTACCTCGTCGTTCTTACACATCTGTTGATGGAATTGTTCTTTAACCCTGAACTCACACTTCAATTTACTTGACTCTGCAGGACCAGGGAGATTTCTGTTGGAACCATGTGCTTTCATGCTACTGTGTGTTTTCAAGCACGTTAAAGCCACCAACAGAGGGCGCTGTTAACCTATTGGTACATCTGTCCTTCAGTCTAAGCAAACCAAATAAAATAAAAAACACATTTGAGGAAATTTGTGGACCTTTTTTTTTTCATTTAACCTTCATTTCCTCATGAGTCTCTTTCTCATTTACTCATCTCTCACTGCATACATAAAAATGGATATTCTTAAATATCTGAAGTAAATTCAGACCCAGAAAACCAGAACATTGAGAGCTCAGCTACGGGAGTCCGTCATGGTGTGGTTTGTGTGCCGACATTAGCCTCAGTAACTATACATATTCTTTTGCAACCAGATCTTTGTAGTGAACTGTAACCCAGGGCTTGAGAACCTGATACCTTTACGCTACGTCTGACTCATGTCCATAGAAGGAATATTCCAGAGTCTTCTGCTGAAAGTTTAAGGTGCAAATGTTCCTTGAAACATTCGTGTTTCCACCGAGGGCTGTGCACATCCTGGTGTTGGTCCGACGCAGATGTTGTAATGTTTGCAACAAAGGAGTGAAGAACAGAAAAATAATCTCTCAGTCTGACTTTTGTTCTGACGTTTCTCTTGTCCTTCATGGCGATTTAAAAAAGGCTTCAATGAAGTTAGGAGGACAGCTGCTCGATTGTCCTTGAACATCTCACGACATCACAACAGGAGGACGTTTTTAGTAATGAGTAAAAAATTCAAAGAAAGACTGAGAATGAGAAGTGGTTTGTGAAGAGATCACCTGTCAGGATGGACATGACCCTGTGTTTGACTGAACCATGCAGCTGGTTTTGAGTTCGGAGCCACATGAACAACACAGCAGGTTTCCTGGGCCTTAGACAGCTTCAGAGTTTGGAGCTCGGCAGGGATCAGTTCTTGGGACCATGGATTTTAGAAAAGCTCATTTCTGCCAGTGTTAGAAATGTCGTTCTCAAATCAAACACTGTTCAAAAGCCGTAGAGCGTAAGATATTAGTGATATTAATGAATTTGTTTTTTTTTTACAAAAAAATGTAAAAAATTAGGTTCAAAAGTATGCCTCAATCACATTGACACAGTTTCAATTATTTTAATACTGTTTCTCTATTTCTATGACAGTTATTGTATATTTGAACTATATTTTTTACTATTATGATTTGGTTCTGGCAGAAATGTGCTTCTCTGAATTCAAAAGACTTGATGCATCATAGATATCCTTGTAGAAAATGTTCTGGATCGTTTGCTCTGGTCTTACATTGTCCACAAAAAAACAGAAACACAATCTGTTTGACTGGTCTTCCTTTCATTTTTCTTTCCTGTGCAATCCACCTGCAGACGTCTTTTCTTCCTCAAGTCAAACTTGTCCGCAGACTCTCAAAATCCTTCGTATCGTTTTGTTCTGCTGTTAATTCCGTTCGTTTGCTTTAAAGGCCATGAGATTGGTAATTGTCTGATGTCAGGTTTTAAAAAGCTGCCATCACCTTTAATAGAACAGGGTGTAACTGAAACGTTGGACAGATATCCGTGCCTCAGAATGACAATAATGAACCCCATCACCGACAAATGATGATATTTTCTCGATCTGAGGAGTTGAAGGAAGGTCGTAAGGTTAGTGTCATCTCTCAGGTGGCATCTATGCAGGGTTTGTGTTGGATGATCTGAGGGTCAGCGCTTCATCAAATGCTGCAGATGTTGCATTTTGGTATTAGACCAGGCGGCCGCTGCAAACTATAGTTCTCTTTACGAGGTTTTGACCAAATCGTAGACGTAAATGAGAAAGTCGTCATCAAACTTGATGAAGTAGACAGAGGGTTTGGCCTCCACCTGGTGGATGACCATCCCTGTCCGCTTACCACCGTCCTCTTTGGCGTACTCCACCTGTTTACCCACCAGACTGTCTACCACCTCACCAGGCTCTCGCTCCGTTGGAACGTTGTCGTCTATGGAGAAACGGAAACAACAGTTTAAACCACTGTTTTCCACAGTGTGACAAGATGTAGGAATGTTTTGTTTTTGTTTCAACATCACCATCCACCTGGTCATACTCATCATAACACTCCTCACATATGAAGTGTTAGCAATATGTTTAACAGAACTTTAAAGTTATAATAGAACACACAAGTGGGAGGGCCACTAACTGGAGTCAGGCATGATGCGGAGGTCTCCTTCTTTGTAGTCGTCCAACAGCTGGTACATGTAGAGGACTGGGTCCTTCTCGTAGGTGATGTAGAACCAGGTGGTCATGATGGGAGCCCGAGCCAGAACCATCCCCCTCCACTCCTCTTTCGGACCCTCCTCTGTCTCAAACATGTGCTCAACTGCTTTCCCAATCATGGCATCGGCTAGGCTGACATCAGTCAGACGGGACTTTGCTGCAGAAGAGTTAATCAATAGAAGAATCAAAAAGAAAATGGACAGCATATTGTTCAAACATTCAGGGTTTATGATGTTCAGGTCCCAGATCAATGATGCTGTTCTTACCCAGTCTGTCAGGGAGAACCTCCAGACCCTGAACTCTCTCGTCCTTGTAGAGCTCCAGACCATAAACACAGTCAAAACCATCGTACTTGATCAGGTAGAGAGCTGGGTTCACTGGAACCTGGTTCAGACCAAAAACAACTGAAAAATTAAATGAGGGGCAACATATCATTCTAGTGGTTTAATCAGGCTACTTTAACTTATTTCTAGGGGTGTAAGAAAATATTGATACACTGAATTATCACTGTTGTTGACAGGAGCAGCAGGAGAAAGAACTGGACATTTTAGTTTTGTGAAGTTGTGTCAAACTAAAGTACAATGTTATGAAAATAAAAGACCACCCAAGGTAACAGATAAGGGGACGAAGATCAATAAATGAATGGATATAACCAATAATACAGTGTTTTCCAACCTCGGGGTCGCCTGGAATTCAAATATTTAATAATCTGTTAAAAATATTTATTCACCTAATTACTATTCTTTTGAAAAGTATTATTAAGACACCACACACAATCTTAAACAACTATTTAAGAGTTCAAATAATATACAGCATGTAATTGTGAGCGGGAACATCTTGATTGGCAGGTGCTATCATGTGACTGCACAAGTAAATAAATAAAAGCCAAAACAGGTTGGGAACCACTGCACTAACACATGGAACCTTGGGTCTGTCCTTTGCACTCTGATGTTGGTCCCAAAATGAAAAATGACCTCAGTGCTGCCTTCCAGCTGATGCATTGTGGCCAACCATGCCCAACATAAGGCACGCCGTATGCCTTATGCACGCAGTGAGGTCTGAACCAGACCTACTCGTTTCTGTATGTAGTGAGGCTAATTAATGTATAAAAGGGAATTCTCAGTGGAACTATTTGAAAGTCAGCCATAAAAATCAGACCTGGCAACCATGCCTTTAATTACCTGGTCCAGGACTGTCCCCTTCCAGACTACGTGGCCCCCTCCCTCCTTCCACACATGCTGAATCCTGCAGCCGACGATGTTGTTGTGAGGCTGAGACAGGACTTTGGTGGCAGGACCCAGGCTGCTCTTGTGTTTTCTGTAGAACCAGAAAAGAACCGCAAATGTCAATGAAACCAGCAGCTCTCACTTTTTTGAAATCAGACTATTAAAAAAAAAAAGAGAACATCTGCACTCACTTGTGGGGATTCTTTTTCTTCATCATACTGGCAGAAACACCTGAGTGCCCTGACCACAGAAACAAAATGCAGCATGTTTAAAATAACACACACCACGTGCTACATCTCTGAATGTCAATTAAACAATAAAATGTTTAAATTTGATTAATCACAGGGTAGCAGTGATTTGATAACAATTAATGAGTGTGTGAACAATTCCGTATTGACTATGCATTAATTAGATGTACAGCATCATGCTGCCCATGTGATGAAAGTTTTTACCTAATCAATTGCACAAATTAATGAGAATGACTCACTAATAGGTGATAAGTAAGTAAAATATTTGTTTTTCCTTCAGTCCAAATGAATACATATCTATATTACTGGTATATGCCTTTCTATTTTTCTCTGAACACAACCTGGATCATGAGATCCAGAATGCTGACATCTGACCTGTATCAGCTGTGTCTCTGTGTCCCGGTGTGTTCTTCATTCATCTGGAGGTAGGGAGGCAGCTGGGCTGCCCAGATGAAACACAAAAACCTGGCCTGGCCTGAAAGGACACAAAAGGGAAACCAATGAATCATACGCCTCCTGCTGGACCAGCATCACATCACGTCAACAGACTTGAGCCAAGACTGTGGAGATTTTTTGTTTAGCTCTGGACTGTCTTCTGATTCCTTTTAAGAAGAAAATAGCCTCTTCATCCTTTCGTGCTCTTTTAGAACTCTACAATGTTCAGGGCTGTGTCCCTGAGCAGGAACCAGGAACTGACCAGGGACAAACTGAACTGAAATTAAACTATTTTTTTAAATTAAAATACCAAAACTATAGAAACAGATTTGGCTTTAAAAAGACCCTTTTAAAACATTTAACACAATGAAGGTGGAAAATCAGAGCTGACTCAGTTCCATCTACATGGGCTTGCTACAGGAGCATTGACACATAAAGGTGTACCGATCAACTGGGCTGTGAATCAATTGGACGTGACCAGCCCTGACGGTTGCCCGGCCAATTTTGGATCCGATCATTTTTCACAAATGTTCTGCCCCAAAGTCAGTAAACATGTAAACAAGACCATTTTACTGACAATGGGCACACAGCACGTGTGTAATAAATAAATAACCGTGGCTTTGAAACTATTTAAATGACTTAATCTAAATATTTGAACAGTAGCTGTGGACATGTCACACTTCATGATTAGTCATGATTAATTCAGATAAATTAACATTCCTAAATATGTCAATACAATGTTTTTTCTGTACTTTGCTGGAACAGAAATACAAATGTCAGCAGGTAGATGTCAGTGTTTATCACCTGTTTATTTGTAATTAATAATGGAATTACTAATATGGAATAATCCAAAGTCCAATGCTGACACATCTGAGTGACGGTTCTCAAGGTCACTGATTGGACAGGTGGGTTGCAAAATAGTTGCCTTTAAAATAAAATCCTCTCGTTGTATTTCCAGATCCTATCCAAGTGTAATAATGTGTTGAAGTTACACATTATTTCAAGATTTTCAGAGGTCTGGATGTGACCTGTGTGCCGCACAAAACTCAAATCTGGTCTACAGTCCGTTGCATTTCAGTGGACAATTGCGCCAGCCAGCTGACCATTTATGTTGGGCAGACTGTTAAAATGTAACATTTGGTTTAAGGTTGTCTAGTGACATGGCTGTGAGACTTGTGTTGTCTTGCGTGTGCGTAGTTTGTGTCTAATCTCTGTGGGTGAACTACCTTCCTGCTCACAGCTCACTGTGCAGAGGAAAAACTCACAGAAACCTGAGACATTTTGCAGCATTTGGCAGCCGCTCCTGGTAATTTCCCCCCGTTGCCCCAGCAACACATGATTAGTCATCTGTTGTCATGAGGAGCTGTGCAGTGCTGGACTGGAAAGGACCTGGACCACATGTAGTCCAGTCGGTGTGAAGCTTCGGTAACCAGGAAGTTGGAGTCAAATATAGAAGAGGGAGAAGGATTCAAACAGAGAACGTTTGACTCCCATCATCTATGGTAGATCACATTACATCATGGCAAACTGTTCAGAGAGCTCAGCTCTACAGACAATGAAGCTGATGTGTTTTTATGAAACCATGAGGTTAGGTCAGTAAAAAAGTCAAATAGATTTCTGAGTTTGATAAAACCAGAGTTGGTCCAATGACACTTCTGAACGACCAACGAGGGGCAGATTTAAGGTTGTTCTGTACAGGTCCACACCGACTAGTTAGTCCCTTCAAAAACCTAAAAAAAAACCAACCTTAAATCCTTCTGATCATCATCATAATATTGTTGTTTTTTAAACTACACATTCACTACAATGACCGGCAGCCATGCCCTCATTATGCAATCGGGACATAAAGACACAGCTGTGCATGTGCAAACTCCCTTCAAGTTATTGTAATTGAGTAACATTTTGAAATGCTTTGAGAAACTACACAAACATCGAGTCAGAAACAGGGCAGGATAAAGAACATGGGCAAAAACACCTCACTCTGATTAAGAGTGAAAAAAATGGCTGTACAAGTGCTGAAGTGAAGAACTTTGAAGGACAGTCTACTTTCTGTCTCACAGAGAAAAAGAACACATTGTGGCAATGGTCTACTGCTACAATATAATTTTATATTCATTATGACATGCATTTGCACATCTTCAACAAACTTTCAACCCTTTATGACCATTTCATGTTAGATTTTAACACCATGTTTGGACAATGATTCTGATACAAACTAATATATTTTTCAACAATGTGCAACACTATTTATTTGTTGCTTCATGGGCAACGTTATCCAATAACCTTTGCACATTTGACTGAAGTCCATGCTTGTCTCCAACTTTAGACATCCGTCACCTCTTTGCTAGATTTTATTTTGAAGTTGGGGAGGAGACCTGAAAATCTTCAATGTAAATATTCAACTTCAGCACAAAAACTTACTGAAAGTCACTCTCTGAAATCTAAACACGCCCATTCAGGTCTAATTGCATTGGATGTCCTTTTTGGAGTCATCTAGGAGGATGCTACTCAAGGTAAACATAAGTGTAAAGTTTCGGTCTTCGTCCCACTGTCCTCTTGGTGACTCATGCTGTTTAGATGGAAAGTCCATCATCCAATTACATACTGTCATTAAAGAAATAAGGTAATCTTCATGAAGGTCTGTCCTGGCATTTAACACAACTTTACTGACATTTGTTTAACACAAATGTCTACTTGTGGCACTGGTCTGTTTTTGCTTATACCAGTTTTATAATTGTGTGCATTTAATCATTACAAAAAAATTATTAGACATTCTTGTCTGTTTGGTTTAACTGTTGTACACTGTTCAATGTTACTGGTGAATTGATCACACTTTTACTTTTATTTGCAATACTATTAATGTATTCTACATTGGCCAATACTGCTTGAAGTTTTTTGTGCAATTCTGCAAGTGAATTATGAATGCAAAAATTAATTTTGCTGTAGTTACAATACTACAGTTTCTTTTATCATCTGCAATATTAAACATGCAACAAATGAACCTAGAATTTCAGTCAGACAATAATTCAATTAACTTTATTACTCGTAAAAAATATTAAATAAAAATGAATTCATCTTTGAGATAATAGAATGTATAAGAATATAATGTTTATTTTTTTCTATTGTCTTTTATTCTGCTGATTTGGATAAATCAAACACGAATGCAGGGTAAATTAAGTTTCTGCTCCTACTGACTAAATTTCCTTTTCGTGGTCTTTTTATCCGTTCAGTAAATTGGGTCAGTGATGTGGGAAGCCATTAAAAACACGAGATGGCAAAAATTTAGAGAAATCCATAAAATAATTCTGTTTTCATCTTAATTTTCTTCTGCACTGACAAAACAGCAGCGGTTTCTGCAGAGACAGCGTCGCCATGTTGTTCGCTTTTTCTATTTTTCTCTGCTGCTGTTTTGCCTTCTTTGTCATTTGCACAGCAGTGGTTTTAGATTTCGCCTGTGTGAGGCTGAGCAGAAGCGGTGACCGCCCCTGTCTGGCTGCTTTTCTGCGGCACAAGGGTGTTGGAAACGCCGCAGACGGAGCGACAGCAGGAGACGGGGAGAGTCTGAGCCCGTCTGCCTGTGCCCCTCCCCCGCCATAGCGACCGTCGGCGGACCGCTGGAGACAAAACGAGCGTCTCTTGCATTTGTTGTTGTGTTTTTGGCGCTCTCTGAGACGCGGCCCCATTAGCATGAAGCTAACACTCTGTTGCTGGGATTTAGTTTTGTTTCTTACCGTTAAATGTACAAACGGTGCTGGTTCTGCAGGGCTGGCAGTGGTGGTGTTTTTTTCCTCTCTTCCTCCGTTAACATGCACACGCATCCACGCACACTGACGGGGGCCGTTTCCACTTCACAGGAACCAGAAAGGAACAAGTATACGGCCGCAGGCCTACTGTTAATCTATCAAGGTGTCGCAACACACTGATACCATTTCCGGTTAGGGTTTTCACAGTGAAAGCGTATCTGATCAATTTGCTTCGCTTTTCATTTCCTGCTTCCAAATTTAATGGGAATACTGTATCTGTGTTTTTTAACGAAGATGGTTAAAAAACAATGACGCAATGTAGCGTTGTCCAATATCAACATATGCAAATGTACTCCCTAAATGTTCCGGCAATAGATTTGTAAAGAATAAACACAATACGGCCAGACCAATTGTTCAAAATATTGTTATAGACATTAAGCTAATTTATTAACATATTTTTTGTACATATATTTTTGTATTTTTTATTCTTGTATATTCTTGTTAATGCGTGTAAAAAGTAAAGCATAAAAGTAGAATAGTCCGTAGTTTGCAGCTAATCTTTGATTAATTCTGCAAAGGTACACGCGCGACAAGCGCCAAATGATACTCTAGATAGACTTTTATTTTCATTTGGCAATGTACATCCGGTCATAACACAGCTGCGTTGACTCAGTCTTTTGCTCTCTCTTTCTCTCTCTGTTACCCTCCCTTTCTCTACCAAATACTGCAACTGAGAGTCAGCACAAGGACAGAGACTGGTGCAATACGCTTTTCTGCTGCTTAATAATGATGTCCGCTAAATGCGACACACAAGGAGACAGAAACACAACCTGGGGATAAGACAGGGATAGAGAAAAAGACATAGAAAGAAAAAGACAAAGTGGGCCATGAAGATAGACATGAGACAGACTGCAGAGACTTAAAGACAGGGAAGAAGGGACAGAGACAAACAAAGATATGGACAGACTGAGGGACAGACAGACTTAGGAAAAATACGACAAGAAACAGTCAACGAGAATGACACAGGTGAAATCCAGGTCGCCACATCCCTTGTTTACTAGAATATGTCCTCTATTAAAATATGACATTATTCAACGATATCACTGATCAGTGCTCTGGTTATTTGTTGTTGGTTAATTGTTCTGTAAATAAATAAAAATCATGTCAACATCAAAACATGAATTTGTTATTGTGTGATTTTTTAGAAACTAGAGAACGAACTTAATACATAAAAAGTGCGCTGAGGCGTTAGCTGTAAAACAAACTATAAATTTAAACATATCTGACTTCTCTTACCACTGAGCATCATTGATCACTTGTTTAAAATTGTGTGAAATTATTGTTATTTGTTCAATATTTTTTAATAGTTAATAATTCGTTCAATGTATTTTTTCATTCTCTATGAATTCCTAAGGCTCTACCACTTTAACAGTGGTACGTTATTTCTTCGGATTAGAGAAAAGTTTCCATCGTCATTTCCGGTGGAGGTAAAGTAATGGGCGGGGATCCTACAGAGCGGATATCCTGCGTGTTACTACGGCAACAGGAGGTGAGCGGCTGTGTGTGAGACGTTGGGGCTGAAAAACACAATTGAAGAGGAGTCAGAGCAGTATAAACATGTTTTTTTAGTAATCCCACACGGTTGTAACGTGCATTTTTGAGCATGTTTACGGACGAAGCTCTGGACTGTGTGAGTTTCAACTCAGTCTGGAGGAAGAGTCAACAGAGTGCCCGAGAGGAGGTGAGTTCTGTCCATCCTTGACAACTGCAGATCAGACACATCGTAAACTTGAATTATTATTAAATAAATACAAACATAGCAAATGCTCTTCAAACCAACGAGCTTTGTACAGAAAGACAGCATACAGGTTTGAAGTGCCGCTGCGATAAATGAATATTAAAGCTAAGATTATTGGAGTACGTGTACGAGTAAAGTTTGTCCCAGCTAAATGGAAGTTAAACAACTAAAAATGAAAACGATAGTAAATAAATGGCGAAATAATAATGATAATAACAAAGTAACCCCAGAAGAAAGATCAAACTTAAAGAACTACCAATCCCAACTGTCTATTACTTCTGAAATACTTAAGTTGTACCAATAGATAAGACACATTTTAGTCTACATATACAGATGAATAAAATAAATAAAAAATAACACAGAAATACTAACCATGAATAATATGCAAACTTGCTAAAAGTTTACCTAAAATAGTCTTGCATTAAGCGAAAGAAAGGCAAAAGTTTGATAATGTATTGCAAAAGTAGCTAAATGTAACAATTGAAACCCAAATGTTTGCTTAAAAGAAATAAAAGTTAGCACCAAATGAAATGCAGCTCAGAAGAGCTAGTGGTGAGCTAGCAGTGTTACAACAATGTTACCTGATTTGTGTGTGTGTGTGTGTTCCCAGAGAGGCTGTCAGACCAGAGCTGTTCACAGCATAGACTCAAAGATCCAGACCTCATCCACGACAGAGACCTGCACCCAGACCGAGCCATGGGATCAGAGAACTGAGGAAATCCTCTATAGCCCAGATGACCCAGAACCACCAGGCCTGCTAGACTTTCTGCTGCGGGTCGAGCAAGTCCTTATAAGAGAGTTGACGAAAAACTCCAGGAGTCATGCTTTTGATGGGTTCCAGGTGAACTGGTCTGGTGAAAGTAAGCAGGTTAGTGTGATTTCAGCATAGTAGTCTTAAAAGCTCTCATTGACAAAAAAACGTTTGTTTGAGTGTTTTATTGTTAAAAACTTCTCAACCTCTCAGCTTCCTTTTGACAAGTTACCGTAATTATTTGTTTTTGAAGTTGTTGGAGTAAAAGTTCCATTTCATACACCTGGAAATTGTTTTTTTTTCTCTCTTAGGTTTCACGTCTTCATCTGCTTCAACATCCAGCTGCTCAGGATCGGGGTCTTCATGTGACCAGTGTCTCCTGGAGCTGCACAGGTTCAGTCATTGCTTGTGCTTTTGGTCGGTAAGTCATTTGTCCCAAATCATGTGAAAATGAAACCAGTTTTCCTGTAAGTGACATGACCACAGTTTTTTCCTGGTTCAGTATTGATGAAGGAGACTGGAGCACAGAAAGTTCATATGTTTGTACGTGGAACCTGGACCGTAGACACCTGAGGCCCAAACAGGCAGACTTGGTCATCGATGTTTCCACGGCAGTCACTGCTCTCCACTGCCACCCCTGTCAGCCAGCTCTCATTGCAGGTAGGGATTCAGACTTGTGCAGCGTTTAATTTACTCAGATAAACAGAGCATAATTTTTTAAATAGATGAGGTCATGTCTTTTTATTGTATTAGAGTTGTGGTTCCCATCTTTGTGTGGGAGGAGCAGCTCTAACGGGGGGGGGTCAAATACATGGGAGTTACATTATTTCAAGTGAGGCAATTGTTTTGAATGTGTCAACTAGTCTAAAACTTCCATCTATCTCCCTACTATAGAGAATAATTAATTTATGTTAAAACATGTCACTGATTAGTTGAGTTTAACAGGTTTTAGTCTGTTTCTATGATGTTGGACGATTAACTGTTGACTGACACATGAATTTGAATACCTAACTGGTTTCAGTTTAAAGAGCAGTTATTCAAAGGTTATAAGAAATAGGACATACCATGTGTGTGTGTTACAGGAGGCCTGTACAATGGGGAAGTGCTGGTCTGGGACACAAGTCGGACACAGGACCTGGTTCTGGCTCTAACTGGAATGTCAGCTGACAGTCACAGAGAACCTGTTTATCAGGTGAAGGTTTTATTACTTAATGAATCACATGACTAAACCGTGGTTCCCAACCACTGGCACATCGGTGTACCATGGTAATGATCCAAATTCCTGATTGGTTCGAGAACCATTATTTATTTACTGCAAATCATTTGTCATCAATGAATCCTTCAGTACTCTTCCACTAGGTGGAAGCAGATAGCTGTAAAAGCTAAAATGAGTGAGAATTGGAGCTGGAGTTAAGATGTGTATGTCTTTAATTTTAGTGATTAAATGATTATTGTGTTGTGTGTTCAACTAAAAAGGCACAGGTCTCTGTAAATAGTGAGTTAATCAAAAATAGAAGATCATTATATTCCATTTCATACACGTATGTGACATTTTAATTTACGGTGCGTCATGGGATTTTTCTGATGTCAACTCAGCTGTGTCTCAAACCTGTTGGGAAATATTGGACTAAAGTTTTTTGGACCATTTAAATCTGATGACTATCTATTTGTAGCAACTGATGATAAAAATAACCCAGGAACCATGTGTGCTTCCTGATGTTCTTTTTGTTTTCCCAGGTGTCCTGGATACCCTTGCAGAAGAAAGGAGACTTTGGAATTCTTAGTGCTTGTTCTGGAGGCAGGGTTCTTCTGTGGACCGTGGACTCAGGCCAGGGCAAGTTGGCCCTGAATGCAGCCTATGCCTTTGTGCAGCAGCAGCTTCCTCGCAGCAGCAGCTTCAAGGTGAGCATCAGAACAAAAGATCTGACGACTACTAGAAAAGTCTTAATAAGGTGGAAAATTAGGCTGTTCTTGGAAAAAAACTAGGCTGTGAGGAACAGTTATTAATTTTCCTCTTGGAAAAAAAGGCTGTGAGGAACAGTTATTAATTTTCACTAATAGATGATAAGATAAAGTTGAACAGGTTTTGTTTTACACTAAAGTCAATAGAAAAATGTTCTATGGACTTTGGTCTGTGAGCTAAAATCACCGTTTTTCTCCATGGACTGGTCTGTGTGGTAGTGAGTGGTGTTCTTCCATACCAGCAGAATGACAGGTGAGACAACAAATGGTACTTTTTCCTTTTTTTTGTCCAGACTCGTGTCCTCAGCAGCAGCAGCTTGGTGGGCGTCACCTCCCTGTCTCTGTGTCCTTGGGACTCTGACACCTTCCTCGTGGGCTCCGAGGGAGGCCTCCTGCTCAAATGCTCCTTCTCTTCTAAAACGCCTGCAGCTGTGTGCTCTGACAACCAGAGTGTGGCGCTCAAGGCTCCAGCTGTATTCTCCTTTCAGCCTCACAATGGTCCTGTCCACTCGGTCCACTGCTCACCTTTCCACAGGTCACATGTCTGTTCATCACCAATGATGGAGAGGGAGTGGAACCACCTGATGACCTGTCTGCTTTTCTTCTGCAGGAACTTGTTTGTGAGTGCAGGAACCGACGGTATGGTCCAGGTCCACTCCATGTTGCAGGTCAACCCTCTTATGTCCGTCAGAGTCTCTGACTCGTACATCTTCCAGGTGCAGTGGTCTCCAACCAGACCACTGGTGTTTGCTGCTGCCACTGGACAAGGTCTGGGCATGTGTAGTGAACACTGCGGGGGGTGGGGGGATTGCACACCATAGGAAGTGGTTGATGCTCTTGCTTTACAGCTAGTTCTACCAGCTGGTCATTCATATACAGTCCACAAGGATGCAGATTAGAGATTTGTTTACCATAGAGAACTGACCAGTTTGCAACCTCTGCCCATTTTTATAGACTTGAATTCAAACATGTAACCAGTTCATATGTTGATTACAGAACCTCTCAGAACATTCAATGTTTTACCCTTCATTTTAAGTCAACTAAAAATTCCAATCATGTCCCTCCTTCAGGTGAGGTCCAGATCTTTGACCTTGGTCATCGATCCCTCAAACCATCAGCCACCATCACACAGGAGGTGGTCGGCGGTGCCACCACATGTCTGGACTTTAATGGTCAAAATCCTCGTCTGCTGGCGGTGGGAAATACAGATGGGACAGTCTGTGTCTGGCAGCTGCCCTCTGACCTGACGGAGCAGAGACCCAGAGAAAGCATCCAGCTGGAGATGATAGCCAATCAGGTGGCAGAGTGACAAGAAGGTTGTGGTCTCAATTGGAAGTTCTTGGGGATCAGTGAAGTTCTGGACTTGAGCTCTGGATATTTTGGACCAACTGTTAAAAGTCTGCTTCAGTAGAGAGATTTTCACCATTTATCAACACTGACTGCTCTGTCTCTCTCTCTCTCTCTCTCTCTCTCTCTGTGACTGCTCAGTCACCAATGGTGTCAAAATGGCCGCCAACACAGTTCAGCTATTGAACAAAAGATTGTGAAGGTAAAGTGTCAGACTGTGGACATGTCTTCATCTCACTGTTACATTTTTCTAAAACACAAGTGAAGTTTGGAACACATGAAGTTTCCATTTTTCCAGAGAAAAGAAAATCAAGCACTTTTCAAAGTTTTCAAGCTCTATTTACCTTTTGGCAGTAGTTACTGTTGGCTATTGATCAACTTTAGCTATTAAAGGCTAAACCTTTTGTAACAGTTGGGTCATTTTTAACAGACAATCCTTGCTTTTCTTTGTTGTCTTTAATGGGTGTGTCTGTAAAAATGATGATTTATTCCAACAGTGATATAAAAACCCAGTCATCAACAGTTTCCAGTTGTAACCAGTAGCGTTTATTAAAACACACTGCAGTTGGTCATTTACGTTGTTGTCGTGAAATCACTATTAGCTTCTGGAATCATAGTGAAGCAGAAAAAGCTAAAAAGGATCACATTCAAAAGCATACAGAGTCACGATGCTAACACGACTGAAGCTTGACATTAGAGAGGAAGAAGAGATAAATGAGATAAATAGAGATAAAGAGGTTTGTTATCAGTGAGGACTTTAGTGCCGCCATCATGCATGACATTCAGCCGCTAGTCAAGTGTGAGAGTGTGTGTTAGTGTGTGTGTGGGGGTTAAACAAACGCATCCTGATTGGTCACTGCTGGAGGTGGGAGTGGCTAGTTTACGAAGAGGGAGCGGGTAAATTCCACAAAGTCGAAGGCTGATGGAAGTTCACGACCTTTACTGTCCAGATACGGCTTCATGTGAGACAGACAGTAATCTGCCTGCTCCTTGGTTAGGTTCTGGAGGAGAAGGTGGTGTAGGAAGAAGAGAAGAGAAGGGAAGGAGGAAAAAACAAGTCAGATTAAACCTGTGCATAGAAACATGAACAGTTTAATTCTAGCTGAGGCAGCATTTCTCATCTCTGACCTGGTACAGCTCTTCTTTAGTGACGTAGGGTTTGTTCTCAGCACTCAGAGCTCTAAACGCGCTCTCTATCTCTTCACTGGACTTGACGTTCTCCGTCTCTCGGCTGATCATGAAGGCCATGTACTCCTGCAGAGACACGTTTCCATCCCTGACAGAAGACCACAGCAAACACAAACATTGTTATGTTATTTACATTTTTCACATCCATGCTGTTGTAACTTCCTGGCCATGTGACCCACCTGTTAGGATCCACGATGTTCAGAATGGCCTCAAACTCAGGATCTGGTTCTCCTTCCTCTACCATGGGCAGGTCATAGCCCAGCGAACGCAAACAAGACTTGAACTCCTGGTGGTTCAGACGACCAGACTTCTCTTTGTCGAAGTGTCTGTGGAGAAGGTTGATAACATGAGCACTGACAGGGTCTCCAGGAGGACAGTGGATAATTATAGCAGGAGGAAAACTTACTTGAACATCATGCTAAACTCCTTCAAAGCCTCCTCCGTCACTCCTGTGGTGTTTCTGTGAGATGGACAGCACAGTTAGATCAACTGGAGACAGTTTGTTAAATATTGTTGTCTTGTTTACACTTGGAGTGAGTCTAACTTTAGGAGAAGGTGAATGACTGCCTGCTCCCTGAGTGTGTGTGGACTTTAGGGTGAGTACCTGGCCTGGATCTGCTGCTCCAGGTTGTGCTGCATCCTCATTCCAAGTTGGTCCAGTTGGTCCCACTGCTGGGCCAGACCCACAGTGCTGTGTTCTGTGTACTTGTTGTCCAGGATCAGAGCTTCTTCCATGGCTGCTCCCAGGTCTTCAATCTTCTTCAGCTGGCTGCGCATGGCCCTGATTTCCTGGTGCTTACGCTGCAGCATCACACACACACACACACACACACACACACACACACACACACACACACACACACACACACAGGTCTTGAAGAGTTCTGTTGCTTCTGCGTGTTAACAGTTTTAATACAGACAGGTTCCACAGTGGACTCACCTTGGTGGCCTCCAGCTGTGACTCTAGTGTTCCAGACTCTTCTACCATACAAGACCTGACAGTATCAAGTAAACGACGCATGAGAGAGAGGACAGGTCTGAACACACACTCTACCACTAGAAACTCTGTCACCAAAAGGGATGTTTGGAAACATGGTATTAACCTTTGATGTCATCAAAAATCAAGTAAAGTGAACTTTAATAAAATGACAAGTGGCTTTTTCAGGTCTAGTAATGTCCTGGCAGAGTTAAGACAAGGTTCAGTCTATCATTAGATTTTACACAGATTTTTGTAAATATAACTTGTACTGAAATCTTACTACCAGTAGATGGTAGTAATTTACCTAATTCTTTAACAGTTCATAAAACTGTCTCTCAGTGTATCACAGTGTACACACAGTGCAATCATTAGTGTGTCCTGACAACTGGTCATTTGGCTTTGTTCAGTCTAAACCGAGACACCAAAGTGAATCTAGTTTGTGACTGGTGTGTGTTTGTCTGGAGAATGAACACACACTCTGTGCAGCCTGAGGTGGAGGTGATGGTGTGTGAGTTAGTGCAGTGATGAAGGAACTGAACAACACTGCAGCCCAACACTAAGTGGTTTTTAGACACAGTGGGTCAGAGAAGAAAATAAAAAACACCAGAAAGACATTTGACCTTCCAGAAAGATCATCAGCAACTTGGTACTGATAGACAACGATAACACGCCGATAGGCAATTCTATTCAGAAGGGAGGAGCAGGAGGAGGAGGAAAAAACAGAGAAAGGGAGAACAGAGGTAAGAGGGAGGTGATCAACCACAGAGAGAGACCAGACCAGGAATCTCACCATCAAATACTAAACACAGAGTTCAAAGACCAGACATGGGATGATGAAACTTTCCCATCACCCCATGTCCACTGCACAGCTACATGTAGAAAGTGTATAAAGAGAAGGTGATATTAACCCATCGAGGAGATACGTCCTGATTATCACAGTAATCCAAACACCAGTCGGGAAGCAGCCAAGAGGAAGGGGGAGGAGAAAAGAGAGAGAGAGACACGTTAACGGTGTGAGGCAACAACAAAGAGCAAAGACAACAAAGCTGGACCACAGGCTGGCTGTGTTTTAAACACTGGGAATTCAATTGTTACTCTGTCATCTGGGTCAAACTGGCAGAACGCTGCCCCCTACCTGGTCTCTTGCAGCCACTGGTGGAAGGCGTTGGCGTGTTGAGCAAACTCCTGCCGTAACTTGTCGTTCTCTTCCTGTCGTCTCTGCTCCTTCTGCAGCTCCAGCTCGCGCTCCTGTTTGAACCCATGTTTTACATTGTGGATTTTAATACTGACCACTATTGTGATTTTTTTTCCCTATAATTAACCAGGCTTTAAATAAAAGTGTCTTGACGATGGTCCAGACCTTGATGATCTTCTGCAGGTTCCTCCATGTCTCCTCCAGGGCTTCCATGGTGAACCAGGTGTATGGGTTAGAAACCACCTGGTAGCTCTTGATCTGCTGGTCCAGCTCAGCCAACTGGTTGTAGTCGGCCTGAGCCGAGCTCAGAGAGGAGCGGAAGGCCTCGTGAGCTTCTCGCAGGGCTCGGATCTCCTCCAAGGAGTTGCACCTGACAGGATCGGTCAGATCCTCTTCAGCGTTCTCAAACCAGCTGTTGAAAGCTGAGGCCTTCTTGGCAAAGGTCAAGAAGAGATCTTCAACCTGAGGAAAATAAGAGTATCAGTTCTGCCCAGCTCTGGCCCCACAGCCCTTGTTCCATTACAATCTGTACATACCTTTTTGAAGTGCTCCTGAGCCTCCAGGAGCTTCTTCTTGCGAGCAGCTGAGTTGGACAGCAGCTGGTTCCAACGCTTCATCAAGGCAGCGTGACGAGCTTCAATGGCTTTGGACTGGACATGTTTTGCAGCCAGAAGCTGGTCCTTCAGGGCTGTGATGTTGGTGATGCCCTCCTGCTGGAAGGCCTGGAGGCCAGCATCAAAAGTCTCCTGCAGATGGAGAGACAAGGAGAATCCAGGTGTAAGGAGTGACTTCAGGGGTCAGAAATATGGACGGTGGTCTTGGAAAAGGACAAACCTGCTTGGTGAGCAAAGTTTGAACAGAGGACAGGTCTCTGCCGTAGTCATCAGTCTTCAGGCTGTTCTCCTTCTCACCTGGAAAGAAGACACGGCTTCAGTAAAAACACCAACAAAACCCCGTCCACAGGACAGAGCATCAGAACCATTCAATGATAATGAACTCCTGTTCATCTCCTACCGATCCAGGACTCCACCACGTCAGCCTTCCAGTTGAACTGCAGGAAGGCAGAGTTTTCATCCAACTTTGCCTTCCTCTGAGCTGCTGCTCTCTCCAGCTCTGACACTTTCCCTCTAAGAGCCGAAATCTTGGAGCTGATGTTGTCCACGTGATGGTTGTTCTGGTGGAACCAGGGAGAGAAACTGATTTTTTGGCCTTCATTCATTTTTTATTATTGATATTGACAGCTAACAACTATTAGCAGATACACTCACAACACAATATGATTCAAGATTTTCTGTTCACAATATCATTTTGTCAAGATGTATTTTTAAATATAGATAGATATATTAAAGGATGAACATTTCTTTACAGAAACACTGCAAAAATATGAACTGGAAAGAGTTCTTTTCTTTATAAAAACACTGTAGAACACTGTTGGTGTCTGTGGCTATGTAAGGACCTGATACCTTGATTTAATAGAGGGTCGCAACCAACGTTTTTAGGCACATACTGCCACCTACTGTAGTAGTGTGTAGTCTCATGGTGTGACCACCGACTTTTGAGAAGACACAGCCTACTCCTTACGACTTGATGTGCAATTCATTTTTTACTTCTACCGATTCAAAGTGTCACTTTCAGTGTCATTTGTATCAATTTTTATTCAATACACAATACACTGTTACATTCCTAGATCCTACTGCATTTTTTTTATTCTACACTGACATTTCAGAGCTCACATTTCATTTTTGCCCTTGTAAAATTTAAACTCCAGTTTTACTTTTAAAAGTATCTTCTTAATGTTATATCATCAGTACCTTCTTAATCAGTTCCTCTCCGTTGGTGCACACGTCATTGACTCTGTCCCTATGGACACTAAAGTCCGTCTCAAAGGCCTCGTGCTTCTTCAATAAGCCCTGTAGGACAGAGACAGTTCATTAACACCCAGTTCAGCTCCATGTCATCAGATCAGATCACCCTGATGTAGGTGAATTAGGGCTTTCCAGGTCTCTCCACCCACCTGCACAGCAGCCAGTGTATCGCCATAGTCTTCACTTCCCACAAGATTCAACTTCTCATTGATCCAAGCCTCTTCTTCCTCCACGTTTGCCACAAACTGCTGGTACTCCAGCGACTCCTCCAGCCTCTGACCTCTGACAGTAATAACACACACACATACGTTAATTTATCACACACGCTTACTTTGTCCTGCCATGTCTTCGTGATTGTTTTCACCGCACCTTGCTCCAGACAATTCCTTCAGTTCCTTCCAGTGTTCGATGAACTGGGCCAGTCTCTGCTGAATCTCCTCCTGACCGATGGTGTTGTCATCAGACAGTTTCTTCCCAGTGTCCAGCACCGACTGAGGCAACACAGAAGATCAGTCCATCAAAAGACAATGACCAACCACTGCACAGCTTTACCAAAGACTACGACTCTGTTACCTGAATGGCTGGGTCGTGTGCTCCCAGCTCAGCCTCCAGCCTCTTGTGTTTCTTCCTCAAATTCTGTACTCCTGTCAAATCACGTCCATAATCCTCCGAACTCACAAGCAACTTCTTCTCTCTGTACAAAATGACAATAGACCAGTGGATGAAGAAAGAACAACAGAAACCGGCCGTACTCTGCTGAAGAACCGGGGAAGTCCTTCTCTTACTTGATCCACGACTCTTCATCATCCAGGTCTCTGAAGAACTGATGTAGGCGGTGGGACTCGTTGAGTTTAGCGCGGCGACCCGCAGCCATGCTTTTTATCTTGGTGAAGCGGCCGTTGACAGCGTCACGCTTGTCTTTCACCTGTGAGGTGTCAAAGGCGCTGCTGCCCATCAGGCTGTCGGCCTGACCGTTCAGGTCCTTCAGTCGGTCCTGCAGAGAAATCAAGGTGGTGAGAAGGGGTCACTCATTTTAAACACCTGAGGATGGATCCAGGTGGAGTGGAGGAGAGAGTTCAGAACCTCGTGTGCAGAGATGTCAGCCTCCAGCAGCTGGTGTTTCTTCAGCAGGTTGTTGACCGAGGCCAGATCTTTGCCATAATCTTCAGAGGCAAGAAGAGCTTCAACCTGAGAAACAACAACAACAGTGTTTGTGTGTGTGAGAGATCAGCAAAGGTTCATCCAGAGGTTCAGCTCACAGTCATCCATCCCTCACCTCAGATAGCCAGAAGTCAAAGTCCTTGATGCCTGTGTTGAAGTTCTGCTGCTTGTTGGCCTCCTTGAGTTTCTGACTCTTCTCTGCAGATTTGTTGACCAGGAACTGCCACTGCTCATCCAGGGCAATCAGACGAGCCTGGGGCAAAAAGTCAACAGTGTGGTACACTGTAATACTGCAATATTTTGTGTCATAATACCGTACCATATTCTACAGCAATGTATCAATTTTCTAAAAAACAATTAACATGCAAGTATTCATAGCATTGAATCATTTTACTTTGCTTTTATTTCTTCTCTAACAATTACAGATGTAGATGCTTTTGTTCTAATTGTAGTAAGGTGATGTAAAGCATGTAGCAGCATTGTGTGTTTACTATGCTGACAGATTTCCTACAATTAAATGGCTTGAAGAAAAATCAATGTGTCATATAACCAGATTCTTGCCACCACACAACTCTAGTCAACAGAACCAGTACTAACTTCAGAAATAAATTAAAGATATTAAATAGGAAAAATACTACAATACTGTCTTGTACAGACAGGAAGAACTGACCTTGACTGCGTCCTCGCTGCCGGCACAGGCTCCTCTCTGGATCAGGGAGTTTCCTGTGTCGATGACTCCACGGATTCTGTCTGCATTGGCGTGAAGCTCAGCCTCGAACGCCTGATGTTTCTGATGTTTACTCTGAGGAAAAGGAAGGAAACAGAAAGTGTCAAAATAAAGGACGAGAACCACAAACTCATACTGCATTAATGATTTAAAAGACCTCCAGTTTTTAAGTTGTTTTTCTTGATAATTAAAGCAGGTATTGTTAAAACTTCAATGTCAAGGAGTGAAACTAAACGTTCATAATTTAATAAAGGTTCTGTGTTTTGTTTTTCTTGTTCTACATTTTGTTATTTCCTTCACCTGATTGTGCAAAGTTTATTTCTATTGAAAATGTTTAAACAGAAGAGGACGGAGGTTCAACAACACTCCTGTAACAAACAAAAAAACTGGTCGCCTTAAAGTTAATAATTATACTAGTAGAAGCTACGGTGAGAAGCTGAACCAGGTTTTCGGTAAAACCTTTGTGACTGACACAGACATCAAATGTTCATTAGTGCTTCAACAGTATGACTGTCAACCTACAGGATGGAATACAAATGACAAAAACAACAAAAGACACTGGTGACAGACGGGATATGGGGAAAAAAAAGGACTAAACAAAAACATTACTGAAAACAAAAGACCACGAACAGGAATCGACACAAACCTACAGGAGGAGGAGTCTTTTCAAAGTTGCTTCTCTTCCAAACTAAGAGACATTGGAAGCTTCTGAACTGTTTTAAACCCCAGAAAACCCTTAGTTCAGTTTTAAAAACCCAGAGATGAGGATTTCTCAAACATTCACTAGAAGAAGACTTCAGACTTAAAGAAAGACAAAGACTTTTATACTTTAAGATCTTTGGACTTTTCTGAAGCAACTTAAAAGACAACCCCTCCCGTCACTTTCAGAACTAATAATGGAAGCCACGCCCAAATACTAGAAGCCTGTGATGGGGGAAAAAAACAAACAAACCTGGAATAAAACACATCTATGAACACAAGAAATAAGCCACAAATTAAAATCCCAGATGGAAAAGAAGCTGGAACTCAGCAGAGGTGATGAGGGACAAACTGAGAACGGACGGGACAGAAGGGGTTTGATGCTACATCATGTCTACAAACACAGACACACACAGCACAGATGTGGACACATTATTATGGGACAACCTGCTCGGTTGTTAGTCAGCTGACACACTATACTCCAACTTACCAGCAGCTTGGACAGCTAGGAAAAAACATAAGACAGTGGGAGAGAAGTTCAGACAAAACAACAGGAGGGTTGAACACTTTTAAGTATAAGTCAGGTTAAATCAACAGAACACAAAAACACATCAGTGACTGCTCTGCTTCATCATGTGACCACAGTCTGCTCACAAGGACTGGTGAATTTAAATCCTGATCTTGTTGTTCACATAAATTGGCAAGGATTGCATTTGTAATATCTCTAAAGGAAAGGCAGTGCTTAGAGCACCCTCTGCTGGATTGTATCATTACTTCAGACGATCTAATGCACAGAATGACTTGGTGTCAACTCATCATGTTCAGTGTTGTGCTCCCAGTCTGTGGGTTGGACTGGTACCTGGATGTTGGTTGGATCCTTGTAAGACTCATCCGTGGCTGTCTGCAGCTTCTCACTGATCCAGGCCTCGATCTCATCCACATCCCTGCGGAACTGCTGCAGCGTCTGAGATTCACCCAGCTTAGAGCGCTTCTCAATCATCTGGGCCTTTAGACGGCGCCACCTGTTGATTTGATTTACAAATAATGTCAGAAATTATTTGTAAGAAATTATTGTAAAAATAAAACCTGCTAATTTAGACAGACTGTTCTCTGGTATCACTGATCACCACGTTTCCTACCTGCCCAGGACTTCATTACAACGATTCAAGATCTCAGCTTTGGCATAATGGTCAGCTCCAATCAGCTGATCAGCAAAGGACTGTAGAGCAGCAATCTTCTCCTCCTGCAGAAAAAACAAGCTTCTATGTTCATTTTATGCTATGCCTAAAATTTTGGCATTTTATTTGTTACGCAATATCAAAAGTAAAGCGTAAACCTTTTAATAAAAAAACATACTTAAGATTAAAGATATTTTGCTCAACATCTACTGACCTGTACATTAATTGCTTTATCAAAATCTTCATGTTTCTTAATGAGTGCTTCCACACTGTCTAGTGAGTCGCCTTTGTCATCGCTGGCGAGGAAAGCTTCACGAGCGGCCATCCAGTTCTCAGCCTGTTCACAGTCTCTGTTGAAAAGCTGCAGAAGAGTAAATTAGAGTTGAGATTCGGGGATTGAAATCAGATTGGACAAATGGAGGCTTTATGCAAGATTATAAGGGAAAATACACTTTCTTAGTTTTGAAACGATCAAAGAGAAGTTTTCATTAGAAGTGCAGCTGAGACATTTTGTTAGTGACAGGATAAAACCTATATAAGACTCAAGTAAACAGTTGTTATGTAAGGCTATGTAAGGGGCTGATAAACATGAAAACACTATATATATATCAACTCTATATATTATAACAAAATGGGAACCGGAGGGAGGAATAGATATAACGGAAGAAGAGTGGGCTACAATTTGGAAATATCAATGAAAATGTAGAAGTTCACAGAGTTGGAGAGAGTTTGGGTGGCAAAAGTGTTGGAATACAAAAGCAAATCACTACCATGTTTTTTGGGACTGTCAGGTTATTAAAACTTATTGGGAGAAAATACTTTGGGAGCCTCTGGAAAGTAATATATAATAATAATAGTATTTTTTTGGATCATTCCTGAAGGATGGCAAAAGAGAGAATCATGGCCCAACATTGAACATGTGGATGTTTGTTTTAAGTTGGAAGAAGTGGATAGAATACTAAGGGTTTTGTCACCTGAAGTTCCAGGCACTGGTCCAACATCATTCTGCGCTGCACCCAGGCCTTCTCCAGGTCAGCACGCTCCCGGTCCAGAGCCTCCAGTTTCTGTTGGATCTCTGGGCTGGCGTAATGACCCCGAGCCAGTAGCTGCTGACCAAACTGCTCAAAAGCCTGGAAGGTTCCAGCACGGGCGTCAATCTCTGTACGGTGTTCCTGAAGACACAAAGTGAGAAGTTTAGACTTCCATCAGAATGTAAACGTCTCAGCAGTGTGGTACCAAACCACTCAGGAAGAGTTCAGTACCTGGTGTCGTTCCAGGAGAGCCTCAGCTCCAGTCACATCTTTAGCCAGCTCCTCCGAGGACACCAGTCCTCTGATGCCATTGATCCAGGACATCAGATCTCTGTGGACAAATTATCAGTTAGAACCAAACAGAACCAAACCGTTGCAGTGATCAAACCAGCAGCTGCTTCCTCCTCACCTGAAGTCTGACAGGAAGCGCTGCAGGTCATGGGAGTTTCCCAGTTTGTCCTTGCGCTGATCAGCTCGGCCCACCAGGCTGCTCCAAGCCGTGTTCAGCTCAGTGCACTTCTCCTGGATGTCATCCACGGCCTCGGGGTGGGACTGGATCAGACGCTCAGCCGTTTCACCTAGGGAGTTCACCTGTGGGGGATTGAGGACATTAAAAATAAGTAAAGCTCCTTCAATAAAGTCAGTAAATGACACTGAAAGTCATTTCTGTCCTATTGACCTTGTCTCCAAGAGCGGCCAGATCTCTCTCAAAGCCCTCGTGTTTACGCTGCAGAGCCTGGACGCTGGCCAGGTCGTGACCGTAGTTGTCAGTGTTGAGAGCTTGGTTCTTCTCCTCGATCCACTCTTTAGTTTCATCTGCATCTCTAGTGAGGAACAGACAGAGGAGTCACCAATGAAGAGTCCATTCTCAGCATTAGTTTGGTAAAAATGGCAAAGACTGTTGATTTTTTTTATTTTGGTACCTGTGGAATCTCTGCACCTCATGGGCACTGCCCAGCATGTTGCTCCTCTCCTCAGCCAGCTGCTGCAGTGAACGCCAGCGATTATTCAGCTCCTAGATGTTATTAGAAAACAAAAAGTTTTTTTTTAACACCTTGTTGACTTGTTTTTCCTGGGTGTGATGATCAGAGTCATTGCTGTATGTGTTGACATTAGGGATATAACAATACACTCAACTCATGAAACGTTATGATTCACGATTTGTTGTTCACTATACAATTTTCCTTTTTTTTTTTTTTAAAGCACGAACTTGACAATGATTCTTTATTTGTAAGAACTACGCAAAATATCATTACCATCAACTGTACCTGATAAACTGAAATTTTTATCTTAAATAACAGAATACAAAATATGCACATTTCGTTACAGATACACTGCACATCCCGATTTATCTCCTCTTATTAAAGGTCAAACTGGTCTGGTCTGATTTACTTCACTAACAGTCAATATATTAAACAACAAAAGAATATAAAAAATTAATTAGAAAGTTCATTTCTTTATAGAAACACTGTAAAATGTTGTTTTATTCTGTGGAAGAAGTTCTTCCCACATTCTGTTTGAATACCTGAATGTCACTTAGGCTACGAAGAGACCCACTATTGACCATCAGATCTTGGTTTAATAGCGGGTCACAACCAATTTTTTTTAAGGTGCATATCGCTACCTACTGTACTGAGTGTGTAGTCTCATGGTATGACCACTTACTCCTTACACTTTAATGCACAATTTCAACGGATGCAAATTGTCACGCCTTTCAGTTTTAAACGATTAACGATGCATTGTTACATCCCCAGTCATAATCAGTCTAAAGATTGTTTGAACTTTGAGAAAGTATTGAAGGTAAAATTGAACAAAAATATTTGTGTCTCTATTTTGATTAAGTTCAAAATAAATGAACACAGTGCATATTAATCTTTTAAATTATTTGTGTTTCAGGGATACTGATGAGCACAGACAATCACAGACGATGGTGGTGACAGTAATGACAAGGAAGAGGGTAAGATGCTGAAAAGGGGCTGATGCAGGATAAACATCATAACGAGGGCTGGATATAGACTATGACCTGATCTGATTTAACCTTTAATCCATCATCAGCATCATTTGCTGCATCGTTTGTGTTGCTTTCCAATTATGACAAAATAGCTGTAAATATACTGGAGTATCAGTAGGATCCAAGGATTTCAGAAGTCAGTGATGAATACTGTGAACAGCGAAGAATCTGAACTTTTTTGTTCTTTATTTCCTTTTATCCTGCCTCAAACATGACACAGAGAAAAGTACAACATCTCCAAGCAGATGTTGAAGACATAACCCAAGCTGTATGTCAGCATTCATATGTACCACAGGCACTAAGATGGGAGGGACTACTCTACTGACACAGGAACAGAGGACGAGAAGACAAAGGTCATTAGTGTGATGATGATGATGATGACAACGATGATGATGATGATGATGATGATGGCGGGTAAGTTTGTTTTACAGGTAAAGGACAAACCCAAACGAGGCTGGGTCAGCCTTGTAGGAAAACTTACCTTGATTGTGTTAAAGTTAGCCGTTGTTTGAACAGCGAGGCGTATGTTCTAATCACAGATGAACAAAAACGAGGAAGGAGGAAAAAAGGAGGAGGAGGAAGACAAAAAGAGAAAGAAACACCACAGCAGTCAAGAGTGTTAGAACCCAGCAGCCTTGATCTGGATCTTATCACAAACCACAACAACTGCTGACTTCATATATCAAAAGTCAAATCAAAATTACTGCAACCATGACAACAGCTACACCTAACCCACAGCTTACTAGTCATTTACACAACTACAGCTCAAAAACCCTAAACCAGGGCAGTTCAATTTTAAATCAATTTGGGCCACCCACCAAATTATAACATTTTTCTCCCAACACATTCTTTTAAATTATTAAGGATATTTTTATGATTCTGTTTTCAGGGACACATTAAAGAGAAGAGGCTATAGAGTGTTGCACCCATGGTCTGGTCAACTGAAAAAAACGTTCTCTTTACTCACTGATTTTAATTCTCAGTTTCTCTCCGTTGACCACAGATTGGGCCACCCCTCTAGGTTGTGTCTGGGCTGTATGCAGCCTGTGGGCTGTCATTTCAAAAGGCAGGTACCCAAACCACATGGTTAACCTAAAGGCGAGCAGGCCCTATGTGGTCCACAAGCATGCATATGGTTGTCTACATATAAAAGGCTATAAAGTATGGAGTCTACACTGATGTTTACTGAATGGGTTAAATCATCGTTCAAATTCCATGTGTTCATAAACTACACCATAACTGCATAAAAGAGAAAATTTGACACAGAAGTAAAGGGATTTAACAGAAGGTAACAATATTCTTATTTAGTGTGAGATTAAAAATTTCAATTTAATTTTTATTTTATCTTGTGTGTTTTAAACTTCAGTCACGTTTCACAGCCCTGCCCTCAACCATCAAACCAGAAAAAGTATCAATAACCGTGTGACTGGACACGATTGCAGTGAATTCCAGAAGTCATATACTAATGCAGGTCAATTCACCAAACTGAACACTCATGCTGGGTTACCACGTCATTAACCAGTCGTTCATAGTAGATGTTAATTGTATGAAGCAATTTATAGGAACAGTAAGGAGAGGCTCACCTTCCATGGAGACGCAGTCTTGGAATCAGTATCATCCTGGAAATAGAGAAATAAAATAAATTATTAGTGAGTAAATACTGTATTGCATTGGTGCATTTTTAATGGGATTGTTAAATATTGACTAGGGGTGTGTATTGGCACGAATCTGGCTATGTGATACATATCATGATACGGGGCAACAATATAATATATTTCAATATACAGCTGTACTACAGGCACAGGGATATCGTGAATTCTTTTAAACAGTTTAATTGTAGAAAAACTGTCAACATAGTAAACACACAATGCTGGTCCAGGCTTAATGTCGGGTTACTGAAACTGAAACACAGGGATCTGCAATTGTAATCGCTAGAGAAAAACTAAAAGCAAAATAAAATGAATCAACATCATGCATATTTGTATTTTAATTGTTAATAAAAAAAATCAACAGGTGCTGGAGAATATCAATACAGTGTCCTGAAATTAACAGTTTCAATACACCCCAACATTAAACAAATAGTTAAAACCAAAATTATTTTTATACCTTGCCAGGAGCAGATCCCAGCAGCTCTTGTTGCTGAGCTTGGATCATTGGTGCTTCTTCTGCCATCAGACCTTCAGACTCCAGCTCTGACGCCACTTTGTTGATGTCCCTCAGACGAGACTCATTGGCCTTCAGGTCCTGCATGGAACCAGAGGACAAATCATGTGTCACAGAAGTAACTTCAGCCACAAATCACTTAAACATTCTGGACTGGACTTCAAACAGATGCAGCTGCTCTATGGAAAAGTCTAGTAAGCCGCTCGTCAATTTATTTAGAAGATCTTTAAAGGTTTCCCTGGAGTTTTTTTCCTTCTTAGTTACTAGTTACCAAGCTTGATATCAGGACACAAACACTCCTGCTCAAATTCACACTCTGAGGTTTTTAAATTGAACGGTTTGTCAAAGGAAAACTAGGGCCTATGTTTTAGATTGTAAAACCAGGCGTGAACAAGGTATCACCTTCTGGAAGTCGTCAAACTTTTTCTGCAGGACCTCCACCTGCTCCAAGTCAGAGCCAACCTCCTCGTTGGTGAGAGCGCTCTCCTTCTCATGGATCCACTGCTGGAGCTCATTGGCTTCACGAAACAACATGAACTTCTTGCAACTCTTCTCCAACATGTCCTTGCGCTTATCTCCGAGCTCCTGCAGGGTGGAGTATCTTCACAGAGGGACAGGAGAGAAGACTCATTAGCTTGGGACAATTTAAGCCTTCCTTTTTTTTAGTATGATCAATCTTTAATGGAACATGACATGGTTCTTGACATGTATTCAGTGGATTCATGATGAATCTGAGATGGACAGGAGTACAAAGGTAAGGAACTGGAGATCCTTCTATCCCTGTGCTGAATAGAAGCCGAGGGCCACACACTCTCACAACACCAGGGATCAAAGGTCAGGGAACTGGGAGATCAATGCAGAAATAGATGACAGTTGGTGGTGTTATGGTCACAAGAACAGCAGGGGACGCTGGTGGCTACTCACAGCTCTTCCACCTGCTTTGTGCGCACAGACACACTGCAAGCCTCCTTGGTGACAAGCCTGCTCAGAGGCAGGGTAGCGTGGTTAAAGAGATTAAAGTAGTTAAAAAGACAGCAATGGCACAGTGAAGACAGAAGTGAAGGAGTTTGAAGGATAAGAAACAGAAGACACTGTTAAATCTTTGAGGGAAAAAAGACACTGAACCAGAATGCAGTCTGAGGTTTCTTACTGGTTCTCAATCTGGTCCTGGCGGAGGGCAATGCTGCCATGTTCGTCCAACAGGTTTTCTCTGGATGATGACTGAGTGGGGTCCAGTTTCTTCACGTAAGCAGCAGGAACAAAGCCCTGTCGATCGTTAACCTCCACTTTCCACCAGTCCTGAGATTCAAAAAGAAAACTTACAGTTAATTCAATCAAGCATTGACAAACTATGGTGTGTGGACCCAAAAACACCAAAGTCATTATGGAGAATTCCTACAATCACAATCACACCAGACTTTCATGCTGAGGCAGAACAGAAGAACCAACAACTCCGTTCTCCCTAAATTCAAATTTTTTTTTTTTAATCTGAGGTTCAGTCTTGTAGTTTTTATTCATATAGGTTTATACAAACACCTCATTCTGATTTAGGTCTTTAGAGAAGTACAAAAACAAAGAATATTTCTGTGTGGGAACAGACATTTATGTCATGCCTATAAATAGATGAAAGGAAAACTGCAGCTCCCAGACATGACATTGATATTTTTAACCACCAACTCTCTAGAGAATTTCTCAATCACGTTCACACATCACATGCCTATATCTAAGTTTGTACCTTGTTGGTGCTGTTGAGGAGAGTGAGAACGTCTCCTTTCTTCATGGTCACTTCTCTTGGACTCTTTTCCTGGTAGTCGTACAGGGCCAGGACCAGCTCCTTCCCCGTTTCATCATCAGTTGGTGCCACTTGTTGCTGTTGAAAAGGCAGCAGTGACAGTTGGTGTTTGGTTCCTTTACTAAAGTTTTCTAAAGAGAAGTTGTATATATAAGGTCTGGGTTTTACCCTGCAGGCCTGGGCCTGTTCTTTGAGGGCCTGGATGCTGCTGCCATAGGCACTCAGGTCAGACATCAGAGCCTCGTGTTTCTTCAGTAGAGCCTGAGGAAGAACACAAAATAGGATAAAAATGATTGAAAACCAAAATCTTAACTTGGTGACATTAGGATTGATTCATTCAAAGCTTAGACAATCATTTTACTGCCCCACATAGTTTAAATTGATTAGGTACCTCTGCAGAATCCTCGTCCTTGCCATAATCGGTACTGCCCACGATGGGCTCCTTCTCCCTCATCCAGGACTCTGCTTCGTTGGCATCGGCAAAGTACTGCTGTGCCTGCAGTGAGTCTTCCAGGTCCTGTCTCCTCTGAGAGGCTTTGGCCTTCAGTGTGTCCCAACGTCCGTGGAGTTCAGTCAGTTTTGCTTTCACATCTTCACGTGCAAAGTGTCCTAAGGAAACAACAAAGAACAAGAACAAAACAAAACTGAATTTAAGATATTGCTCATGTCCAGTGTGTGAGACTATGTGAGAATAACATACCCTCTTCAATCATGGCCTCTCCTTTCTGAGAAACAGCCTTAATGCGAGGCTCATGACCAGTGATCTCAGCCTGCAGGGCCTGATGTTTCTTCAACAGGTTTTGGACCCCAATCAAGTCTTTGCCTGTAATAAAAAAATTTTTAAAAAATGTAAAAAAACTTAATTACCGCTAATAAATTAGGATACAAATGTGGCCTGGGTGCTGGCCAAATTAGGTCAGTACCTCTGTTGGTGGAGGCAGCGATAGGCTCTTTCTCACGGATCCAGGTTTCTTCATCTTCCACGTCCCTGAAGAGCTGCTGGAGCCTGAGAGAGTCTGAAAGCTTCTGCTTACGTGCAGCCATTGGTTCACGCAGAGCTTCATAGCGAACGACGAGGGCTTCCTGTTTCTTGCAGATGTTGTCGGCATCAAAATGTCCAGCCTCTTGGAACTGTCGAGCCTGGATGGTGATGCCGTCAATACGGTCCTTAAAAAGAGAGAGGAAGATGTTCAATAAAGTGTAAAAACATTACATTTTTTAGACACTGATTTTGTTTTGTTTTGTACCTGGTGAGCAGCCACATCTGCCTCCAGCAGAGCATGCTTCTTCTGCAGGTTCTGGACACTGGTCAGGTCCTTCCCAAAGTCATCTGAGGCCAGGTGACCTTCAACCTCATACAGCCACAGCTCAATGTCCTCCACGTTTCTATTAAACTGCTGCTGCTGGTTGGCCTCACGGAGCTTGATGCCTAATTAAAATAAATAAATATATGGGTTTAGTTCCATTTGTAAATAATAATGTCATCTTAGGACACTTGTCCACACCAGAGTGAACATCTACTGTAAGAATGAGTTCATCTAGTCTCTTCCTGTAGCAGATACCTTTCAGCTCAGTTGCCTCCAGTAGTTTCTTCCACTGGGAGCTGACCTCCTCCATTCGACCAGCCACCTCAGTGGCAGCATAGTGTTTTCCATCCAGTAGTTCCTGGCCTGATTTCTGTAGAGCATCGATGCGGCTCTGGTTGGCAGAAAGCTCTGCTTCAAAAGCCTGGTGTTTCTGAACCTTGCCTTGAAGGTTTGAAGGATCCTGTGTTCAAAAATACCAGCAGAAAAGTAAAAACATAGTAACTTCAAGTCTGTTATAATAAAGTTAAAAATTCACAAAAAACACAATCCAATTGAGGTTAACCCACCTTGTAAGCTTCATCCGTAGCAGTCTTCATCTTCTCGTTGATCCAGCTCTTGAGCTCATCAGAATCCCTAAAGAACTGCTGTAGGTGGAAAGAGTCTTCCAGAGCAGCACGGCGAGATTGAGCACGCTCATGGAGGGCATTACGACGGCTGAGCAGCTGCAGGAGTGAAACAGGAGAGAAAATATGTTCATGTCAATGTTCGAGGTGTCAGTTCAGCGGAAAAAGAGTTGGGATTTTAGAGCTGATACTTACAGCATCTCTGCGTGTAGCCACATCTTCTTTGGCGTAGTGGTTGTTTTGGATTAATTTGGTCGCAAACTCATCCAGAGCCTATGGGTTTCAGAAGACAGACATGTTATAATATTGTCAATTGTTGGTATCAAAATAAATGAACTGGCTTGTGTTTCAAATTACCACAAAATAGAAAAAAAGTGTAGTAACTCACAGTGATCTTTTCTTCCTGGGCACTGAGGGACTTCTCAAAGTCTTCATGTTTTTTTAACAGAGCCTCCACAGAGTCCAGAGAGTCACCAAGGTCTTCGTTCAGCAGAAAAGCCTGGACCAATGACATTACAGTGAACTCATTACCTTAACAAAAATAACTGTTTTACTATGTCAATGGCTTCAGGTTGTGAAGTCAAAACTCGGGTTCTTCAGAATACCAGGATGTCAACCAGGTCCAGGACCAAGTTACCTCTTGTTTGCTCATCCAGTTATCCACCTGCTCCGTGTCCCTGTAGAAGAGCTGCAGGTCCATGCACTGCTCATACTGCTGCCTGCGAACCTCCCACAGCTCCAGCAGAGACTCCTTCTCTTCAGTGAGGATTCCCAGCTGACACACAATACAAACAAATACAAATACAAAGTATTAAATACAGTAGTAATCAGGAGACTGTTCCACAGAAGAGAGAAGAATCAGACCCTTCCCTATACCTTCTCTTTGACTTCATCAGAGGCGTAGTGGCCAGTGTTAAGGAGCGCCTGTCCAGCCTCATCAGTGGCTCTGAAACTGTCTTCATGAGCGTCAATCTCCCCCTAAAACCAAAACATAACAATAAACATGTGGAAATAAAATTTTCAACCTAACATTTAACTATCCAGATTTATCTAAGACGGATGTTACCTTGTGCTCTTGGTGACGGTCCAGGAGAGCCTCGGCTCCAGCCACATCATTGGCTAATTCGTCGGCGTTAATCAGAGCCTTCATCTCTGTCACCCAGCTGGTCAGATCCCTGAAGTCAGCGGTGAAACGCTGCAGCCTAGAATATGGTTTCACAGAGAGATAATTTTTACAACACCATGTGTGCAGGCAGCTAATAAAAGCCAGGATTAAAAAATTGAAGGGCTAAAAATTAAATGGCAGAAGCTCCTACCTGTAGGAGTCATTGAGGCGAGTGTGACGCTCAGCTGCCAGAGTACGGATCTGCTCCCAGTTGGTAACAAGCTCATCCTTCTTCAGGTGGATCTGGGTGGCGTTTTGGGGATGAGTCTGCTGCAAACGTTCTGCATCTCTGCCTAGTGTGTTGACCTAAGAAAAAGACAGTTCAACATTCAAACTTTATACTCTTCACTTCTGTGGCTGCTTTGTGTCTTTATGATGAGCACAAATGTCCTGCCTTGTCTTCCAGAGCGGCCAAGTCTCTCTCCAGACCCTCGTGTTTCCGCAGCAGAGCCTGAACACTGGCCAGATCACGACCAAAGTCATCAGAAGCCATGAGCTGCTCTTTCTCTCTTATCCAGCTGATGGTCTCGTCCACATCCCTGATGTCAGAGGAAAAACACACGGCCGTGTTGGTATTTATCAAGTTCATACCAGTCAGAGATGAAACAATGTTCAGTCACCAGAACCATGTTACAGGGTGAAAAGAGATGTCACCATTTTGTTGGCTTTTTTGATAAATTCTGAGACCAGACTGCTGTCCTTTTGGACTCATAGTGAATTTGACAATGGAAACTGTTTCAAACTCCTTACATCATAGCACATCAGTATTCCATTTAATCCTGACATTTCTGTAGCCGTTACCTGTTAAATCGTTGCACCTCAGCAGCTCCGAACAGTTTGCCCTGTCTCTGCTGGGCCAGACCCTTCAGCCGCTGCCAGGCAGCGTTCACCTCCTCCTGCTTATGGACAATGAGCTCTGCCTCAGGGTGAGCCTCCTGTATCAGTTTGGCGGCCAGCTGGTTAACTTCGTTCACACGCTCCTCGTGGGCAGCAAGGTCAGTCTGGAAGTCTTCAAATTTCTTCTGCAGCAGCTCAACATGTTCCAGGTCCTGACCCAGCTCCTCTGAGGTGACTATGGCCTCCTGCAAGGTGTTAAGTAAACAGTAATCATGTTGTGTTGTGTACAGTGCAGCCCACGTTGGCACCTTTTCAACCATTGTTGAACTCCTTATACCTTATCACTAATCCAGTCCAGAGCATCTTCACACTCCCGCAGGTACTGCACCAGTTTCTGGGCCTGCAGGAGGCGCATGCCTTTCTCCTTGGTCTTCAGCAGCAGGAGGTCCCAAAGTCGATGTAGCTCCTCAAGACGAGTCTTAAATACACAAACACAGGACAGAGAAGGTGTAAACAAATTGAAGATGACAGGAAAATTAATAACTCATCGCAAAACCAGAAAAAAAGCAGAGAAAGTCCATTGAAGGAGAAGTTGAGGAGAGAGTTTCACGGCACTCAGGGCTCACGCTGTAGTTTTTACACCTACTTGTATGTACTCCCCCATATTGAGACTTGTAACTATGGGTCTCTGTTGTGTCCGGTAAGGCGTGTAGGACTGAACCAGACGAAGAGGTAAGAGGTGGACACAACACTGAGAAGGTGGAGGTTCATGTATGACAAGGTCTGTTGCTAAACTATAATGCAGTCTAACGCTGAAGAACAATAACCTTTGAAAATTCACAAGAAATATCCAATTTACCTGTATATGAGAGACTCTGTGAAAAAAGAATAAAGTAATAACAGGTACCAACCTTCTGAATATAAATTTACCAATACATGTGTGTGCCTATGTCAATATAACATTGATGTTGCTGAAAGTTTCTCCTTCTGTTAGTGTCTTACTCGAATGGTCTCAGAGGAGAAGTGACCCTCGTTGATCATGAGGTTTCCAGTGTCGTCCAGTTTGATTATGGCCCCAGAATTGGCCTGAACTTCAGCTTCAAAGGCCTGATGTTTCTGCAGCTTGCCCTGTGGGAAAAGAAGACCACAAAGAAAAAATGTGACATAAAACAAACCTCCTTAGAAATCATATATTTGCCCGGTAGTGCATAAATGGAAATGGAAATAAAAATGACAGGGCCAACAAACCTGCAGGTTGGAGGGGTCTTTGTAGTTCTCATCAGAAGCGATCTGCAGCTTCTCCTGGATCCACTTCTCCAGCTCGTCAGCATCACGACGAAAAAACTGAAAGCGATAAGAGTCTTCCAGCTTCTGCCGACGTAACACTGACAGCTCCTTGAAACGCCGGTAGCGGTCCAAGACCTGCTGCCGGCGTTCCTGGATATCGTCAGCTGTCTCCAACACTTTGCCCCCTGCAGTATCCATTTTCTGGAAATAGAGGGGACAATGCATGAGTTAGCATGAAATGTGCATGGTTTACCTGTTTGAACAAAGACATTACTGTTTTACTGACCAAGTGTATGGATTATGGGGTAAAATATAATTGAGGCAGGGGTATAATGATACACTCAACTCAAGATACGAATCACAATTTTCTTTTGTTCTCGAATCGATTTTATCACAATTTTTTTAAACAAAATGAGCTCCACATTGATGATTATTTATTTGTAAGAACTACAAATAAAATGCAAAATACCATAAACAACTGAAATGGTCTTGTGGCCATAATCTGAAATGGTCATAATCTGAATAAACAATTATTAAAAGTCAAACTGGTCTGATTTACCTTACTAACTGTCAATATATTAAACAACAAAAGAATATTAAAAAATCCCTTCTTTACAGAAACACTGTGAAACATTGTTTATGTCCTCTTGACACTGAAATAGTTATACATTTTAAATAACAAAGAGCAAAATCACATTTGATGGATACATATCCATATCTTCCTACACTGTATTGAATGTCAAATGTCATGTAAATGACATGATGTGGTTTAATAGCAGGTCGCTCACAGGCTTACCATCACTGATTGGAGTCTGTAGTATCAGTGACTTTTTAAGATAATGCCCTGCACAAAAATCAACGCGAATTAGGATGCATTTGAATCAATTTTTTAATCAATTCTTGATTCATTCTTACACCCCAATAATGGGTTACAAAGCTCCCGTGCTGTGTAATCAGGATGCTTCACTAGAAAAACTACAGTTTTATGACAGATATTTGGCTTGGAATAAAGAGGCAGGATACCCCCTCTTCATCCCCCGTGCCCCCTCTAGGATCTCCCATTCTGACCTTGCTGTGCAACCATGAGGCCTGCGGGGACTGAAATAGACAAATGCCAAACAGAGGAGGGGTCGGAAATTCCACAGGCCTGTGAACAGTGACCAGGCTTCATGACACAATCAGACTGCTGCGGTCAGCCTGTGTCCACACAGTCCCTGGGCCCCCTGCCCAGTAACTAACAGCAACGTATCAATGCTGCAAAGTTGCCAGACCATAACAAAAAGAGAGGCCACTCTGGTACACTCCAGAATAGTAAACTTCTGTACAGTATACTGCAGGACAGTATAGGATTATAGAAGACAGCAGTGCAGATGAAATGAGTTGTTGTTATAGCCAGAGCTGATGCTTCCTGCGCCCCCACCACCATCCCACTCCCCTTCCTGCCCCCAGCAGCAGCAGCAGCAGCAACAGCAGATAATAATGCTGGTCTCGGGGGAAATGGTTCCATAAATGTATCCAAAGCTAAATGACAGCATGAGTATGGGTGTGTTCTCTGAGTTGATCTTTATAACCATCCTCCCACTGTCGGGATAACCATGTTCAGGCCCTCTTTACCATTAACGTGTCTGCTAAACCTTAGCGATAAAAGCATTACTGGGATTTGACCGACGTCAGGGTTTTCTGCTGAGTGATATCAATAAAAACAGGAGGGGAGATAAAGACTATATTTTATGTCCATTCTGATCAACTGACTCTTAATGTTGTGGTTCAGATCAGCTGCTGTTTTACAGCTGTCATATGACCTGTGCCCAGTAATCAGTCCTGTGAGTGTGTGAAAAAGCGACTGCAATGGTGTCATGGGAAGGGGGAGCGAGGGGGGGGGGGGGGGGAAAAAAAAAAAAAGGAACAAAAAAAAAAAACGACAAAGTGTCGAGCCGTGCGAATGGATTGGGTTACCAGGGGCGCCTTTT